CTTGCGCTTGCGAGGCAGGCGCCAGAACCACTGAGCTAAATCCCCGGCCCTACAGTGTCTATATTTTAAATCCCTGATAGGTGGAGTCAGACTATTTTTAATCAGTTCAAAGTTGAAAATTAGCATTGAAATTTCTAGATGGAAACAAAATTGTCCTTGTCACTTTCCTCAGGTCTGAGCTGGCAGGGAAAGCCAGACCTCTGGCAGGCAGGGGACAAGGGTAGCCAGGGCCACCGCTGGAAACTCGGGCCAGTAAGAAACTGACACGCCAGGAAGCCTTCACCACCAAAACGCTCCTGTCCGCGACAACTAAAACGGGGAGCCTGGATATTGTGCCACCACTGCCCCCTATTGCCTATTGGTTTTTGCAAAGAATAAGCCCTCAAATTTTCAGGTGTCATCCCTTTTTACAGATAAGAAAACCAAGGCTCTGAGAGGAGATGGAATAAAATGAAGCTCACACAGTTATGTGCAAAAGTGGAGAAAGAGTTCAGGTCGACACCAGGTCAGGTCAGTGAACTAGGGCTGAGAGGATGGTACATTGGCTCGGAGGCTGTGTACCAGGAGTGGTAAATCAGTCATTTGACTGGAACAGGTCTGGGTCGCAAGAACGAAAGAAGAGGCAAGTATCGGGCAGAAGGACGTTTAGGAGTATTTGGGGACACAAGAGGTGACGTCTGAATCGGGTTGTGAGGGATGAGTAGGAGAATGCCAGGAGGCCCAGCGTCAGAAAAGACAACCGCAGCAGCTAGTTAGTCAAGGGGGTGCGGAAATGCAGCAAGACTTTAGAGAACTGGGAGATCTACTCTGAGGGAATCTGAACAAGGTAAACTTTTCCGGCAGTTAAGAGGTTACATACATATAATAAAATATAGTGCATTTGCTTAAGTAAGCAGCTTCTGGGTTTTAAAAAAATCCAGGTAAAACACCCAGGTATCCACACCGAGGCGAAGATCTAGGGCATTTCCATCCAGCACCCGCGTCTACACGCACCTCCACCCCTCCCCAGACCCAGATAAGCAGGGAGATGGGGAGGGGGCAACAAAAACCCCTCAAAGCTTTTGGCTTCACTCCCCACTTTTCATTCTCTCTATTCCATCACTGGCTCCAAAATCGTTTACGATTTTTCTGAGGAATCGTAAAACGGCGTTGTACCGGGCAGGGGAAGCCTCTTGATTACTGCTTTCTTGAGAAGTTCACGTGAAGATTAGTTTGGGTATCAAAAGGCTGCGTAAGAACCGTTTGGCGTTTTAGAGCCGCCTTACGATCCTGAGCCTCGCTCAGCTGGAATGACCCTTGGCGGCCGCCGTACATCCGTTACGTGGCAGCCGCGGGCGCTCGCCAATCCCTGGCTCCCGCATCAGCCCCCTCGGGTGGCGTAGCCGGAAGGGGTGGAGCTGAGGTGGCGGCGGTGAGGAGGTAGCAGTGGTGGCGGCTCTGGAGGCCGCAGTCCGGGTCCTGGCCTCGGCCCCAGTCCCACCATGGTGACGCTTGCTGAGCTGCTGGTGCTCCTGGCCGCTCTCCTGGCCACGGCCTCGGGCTACTTCGTTAGCATCGACGCGCATGCCGAGGAGTGTTTCTTCGAGCGGGTCACCTCGGGCACCAAGATGGGCCTCATCTTCGAGGTGGCCGAGGGCGGCTTCCTGGACATCGACGTGGAGGTGCGGGCGCGTTGCCCGCGGCCGAGGCGGGGTCACGGGGCGGCGCTGGCGTTGGTGGCGCGCGGGTGGGCCAGGGAGCGGTGCGGGCCGGGTCGCCGTCGGTGCTGGGAGGAGTTGCGCCCCCCCGGAGACCCCTCGTGGCCCCTTCGCCTCCGGGACCCGCGCCCACGCCTCCCGGACGCCGAGCCAGCCACCCGGTGGTCGCCGCGAGCCCGCAGCTGGACGGCTGGGCCCGGAGGATCCCTCGTTGCGCGGCTTTGTCACCCAGGCGCCGCGTGTCATTCCCCGCCCCGAAGGCGCCGAGACTCGGGCGCGATTGGTGGTTCAGGTCCCGATTTGTCGGCAGCCACTTTCCTTGTTGCTGGATCGCGTCGGGACGGGGCTTGCAAACTTCTTAAAAAGTAGATGGAAAGCTAGGCAGAAGTTACGTTTTTCTTTAATTTCCATAGAAACGATCATAATGGTTTATGTCAGGGTCCAGCTACTTCGTTTCGTTTCGCCCGCTTTGCCTGGGAGAGGAGTTGATCGTGCATTTTAGGAGTAATGACTGATGCGAAGTGTAATTAATATTTTAATTCGTCTGGTAGCTTGACTAATTGGGTTTGTAGATTCTTCATTTATCAGCAAAGGGCAGTAGAGCTGGTCGCAAGTTACACAGTACAAGAGGCTCTTTGAATTAGCTAAGACCTTAGAGATCAGCTTTCCAGCCAAGTTTGACAAGTGACAGGGCCTTAAAAGAACTGACCCGCCCGTGCCATAATCGCTGGTTTGTAGCAGTCTGGAATGAAAATTTGGTTCTTCTAATTTCCTATCTAGTCCTTTCCCTTAAGACTTAACAGACGTAAAGCAATTCTTTCGTTGTGTGGCAGTAATTACAAAATTCTTGAAATGTAATTTTATAAAAATACTCATTTCAAAGAGGGTTTTTTTTTTTTTTTTTGTACCTGGGATCGAACTCTGGACCTTGGCGCTTGCGAGGCAGGTGGCAGAACCACTGAGCTAAATCCCCGGCCCTCAAAGAGGTTTTTTTAAAGCATCAGCCATATGTTCAAATGTTTGTTGATCCTGTTAGGCCAGTTGCAGACTTATGTGTAAGTTGTAGTTTATTTCTGAGGGATTTGAGTTTCAGTTGGACAGTAAGACATAATGCAGCCAGAGCTGAAGGATGCCTTACAGAGCCATCTTGTTTCATGAAGTGAGAGGATTGGAGCCGGTGGTTGCTGTCACTTAACTGAAGTGGAGCTAAGTGAGAATTCCGTATTAGTTTCCTATGGCAGGAGACATTACTTACAAGGGTTACGATGGCACGTGACATTTTTATTTCTCTTCTGCCTGCAGATTACAGGACCTGATAATAAAGGGATTTACAAAGGAGACCGTGAGTCCAGTGGGAAGTACACATTTGCTGCTCACATGGACGGAACATACAAGTTTTGTTTTAGTAACAGGATGTCTACCATGACTCCAAAGATAGTGATGTTCACCATTGACATAGGGGAGGCTCCGAAAGGACAAGACATGGAAACAGAAGGTGAGATGAACATTTGGAAGGGTTATATCCTACTCCAAGAGCTCATTTTAATTCTGTACATCTTTAAAAGATTTCTTATTCCCTGTCCATTCACTGTTCTTAAACCAAAAACTTGTTGTGAAATGTACTTTAATTTTTACTTAAGTCTCTTAACTGACAAAGTTTCTGAAAGTTAATTTGTTGTTGTTGCTGTTGTTCTTTCTAGTTTGCTCTCTGGCAACTTTTCTTACCACTTCGTACTCCTGTGAGCATCTAGGTTACCTGTGTCTTAGGTTGTTCTGTTAATTTGGTAATCCTGGGATATATTCCTTTATTTGCGCATTCCTAGACATAACTAGTTTAGCTAATATATATGAATAATTTTTGGTATTTTTGTTTATATCTTACACTTTTCTTTAGGTGGTGGAGATACCTGGGATGGTATGTGAATTGCTTATTGATAGTTGTTTTTTTTTTTTTTTTTTTTTTTTTTGCATCTTTTTGTTTGCTAATGTCTAATTTCTGCTTTCCTTTTCTCTAACTCAGTTTGTTGGCATGAGAGTGTTTTCTTTTTTTTTTAATTCTTTTATTGGTACATTTTAGGTATACAATACATTTACAATGAGTGTTTTCTCTTTTTAAAAAAGCCCTACAACTAGATTATTTTTTGATGGTTGATATGAGACATGGATTAGGTTATTTTAAATTATTGAGGCAGTTTCTTTATGTAGTCCAGGCTGACCTTGAACTTGTTACATAGTTCAGGTTGATGTCAGCCTTCCAAATGCTGAGATTACAGGAGTATCCCATGTGATGGAGACTTGATTAAAAAGATCAATTGCAAATAGTGCTTTTGACTTTGTAGCAGGTATTTTATGGATTCACTTATTTTTATTGAAAGTTTCTGACTTAGTGTGGTTAGATATGAAATGTAATTAAAAGGCCACAAATAGCTAAAGATGAAAAAAGGTCTCTTGGGCTCTGCCGCCTGCCTCACAAGTGCAAGGTCCCGAGTTTGATCCCTGGTACCCAAAAAAAAGTCTTGGCCATATGTTCAGAGAGATTGTTTATTGTTCAACTGACCAGTAGTGAATGCTGATTGGTTCTCCTGAATAAATTGCTTACTAAAAGCCAGCAAACCACCCCCTCAACACACAATTCTTGCTAGGGGTTTTGGAAGCTGGCAGTTGTTTAAAATTCCATAGTATCAGCATGATAACATATCTTCCAGCTATTTCACAATTAGTAGAGTACTAACATCACTAAGAAGATGAGAGCTGTGTGAGGTTGTTAAATCTGAGCAATGGAGAGGGTTACACTACTTAGTAATAATACTTGTGCTTATTTTTCAGGGCCACTTACGGGTTGGGCTTGGCTAATTCTCAAGGTGAATTAGGAGTTTTGAAGGGGTTTGTGTTTGGTCATTTTTTTGAAAATTGGTCCAATTTAAGTGGTCAGAAAGTATTGGCTGTGAATGTGGATATTGAACTTTTTTTTTTGCTACTGGGGATCGAACTCGGGACCTTGCACTTGGGAGGCAGGTGCCAGAACCACTGAGCTAAATCCCCGGCCCAATATTGAACTTCTTAAGTAATCCTTTAATGCAGTATCTAAAATTCTTGCTTTTGCTTGTTAATGTCAGTGAACAGCAGCTGTCAACTTGAGCCTTCCTCTAAAGCAGGGCTTCTCAAGTGGGGGCTGATCTTTGCCCTCAGGACACTTGATACTTATCTGGAGACTGCTTAAACTCAAGACTAAGCTGGGTGGGTGCTCCTGGCCTCCAAGGGGCTGAAGGCTGTTGGTGCCGCTGAATATCCTCAATATCCTCCGTGCATTGGGCACCTCCCCACAACAAACACAGGGCAGGTGGTCCAAATGTCACCAGTGTTACTCTTGAGAAACCCTGCTCCAGAGGTTCCATATGGTGCATGGGGATTCCAGAGCGAAGCTGGTGAGGGTGCTTTGCAATTCCCCTTCCACTCCCTTAGGTGGGGCTGCGGCTTTGCTTCCACTTAGGATCTCGTGTGGTGACTGGGGTCGTACATGAGGCCCAGGATTGGGCAGGGCTGGAGAGATGCCCACCTCCTCCTGTGAATTCTTCCTTGTCACGATGCAGCACTAATTAGAAGCCTAGTCTTCAGGACAGAATCTTGTGTTCATTTTTGGTAAAAGAGACTACATGGTTGAAAACTTGTGCAGTTGAGTTTGGCTATTTACTTAAAATGCCTGCTGTTCCCCACTGCAGTGAAAACATTACTTTTCATAGAAAAATGTTTGAGTTGGTGTAATTTTTCCCAAGAGCGTCTTCATGTTTTTCTCTGCTTAGTTTCATAGAGCTTAAAAGTCTTACTTTCAAGTTACTCCTAAATTAGAGTTATGTGCTTTTTTTTTTTTTTTTTTTTGGTAGTACTACTAGGACTTTGGGGCCTTTGCCATGAGGTATGTCCCGTTCCCCCCCCCCCCCCCCAGGGATTGAACTCAGGACCTTGCACTTTTGAGGCAGGTGCCTGAACCACTGAACTAAATCCCCGCCCCCCCTCCCCATTTTTTTTTTGAGAGAGGGTCTTGCTAAGTGTCCAGTCTGGGTTCAGACTTATAATCGTCCTGCCTCAGCCTCTCAGAGTGCTGGGATTACAAGCATGTGTCATCATGCCTGGTTTATATGATTTTTAAAAGTAGATTTCAATTTTAGTTTAAATTTTGTTATTTATAGGATTTAGAGTTCCAAAAATACATACTTGTAAGTACACTGTTTTTCTTCTGTCCTCTCTAGTTAGCAGTCAGTCTTGTGAGCTTGGTGTAACAGCCTCAGTCCCTTAGCAGACATTTTGTAGGCTTTTCCTGTAGTCACTAAGCACTGAGCGGTACGCTTCCTATACTGAAGAGGTTTCTCTACTGAGAATGGACATCAGTTTTGTTTTTGTTTGTTTGAGACAGGGTCTCTATGCAGTCCAGGCTGGCCTTGAGCTCACTGTGTAGCCCAGGCTGGCCTCAAATTCATGGCGATCCTCCTGGCTCAGCCTCCCAAGTGCTGGGATTACAGGTATGCACCACCATGCCCAGTCTGAGAATGGACTTTAAAAGAATGTTCTGAGAATTAAATTGTCCTTAGTGGTTCATACCAGTGGTGCAAATTGACGTCTGCTCCATTTCTAAAAGTAGCTTCTTCGTACCCCTTCTCTGGGAAGTACATGACTGTAGTCTTTCTCCATGACACCCTGGCTGATGTGCTCTTGTCCCCCTGCAGCTCATCAGAACAAGCTGGAAGAGATGATCAACGAGCTGGCAGTGGCAATGACAGCTGTGAAGCACGAGCAGGAGTACATGGAGGTCCGGGAGAGGATACACAGAGCCAGTGAGTTCATGTTTCGGCCGCAGCTTGCGGTTCCTAGGGAAAGTCGACCTGCAGCTTGCACTTGTCCTCCTCATTCACAAATTGCGCAGGAATAATCACGCTATGGCTTTTTTTATTTGTTTGTTTGCCGTAGGGTCAAACCCAGGTGTACTCTACCACTGAGCTACATCCACAGCCCTTTTTTAAAAAATGATGGGGTCTTGCTAAGTTGGGTAGGTTGGCTTTGAACTTTGGATCCTCCTGCCTCAGCCTCCCAAGTAGCTGGGATTATAGGCATGTGCCTCCACACTCAGCACATGTGAGTTGCTTTGTAAAAGCACCTACACAAAGATTTTTTGTGTATACACATTTGTGTCTGTCCGAGACAGGGTCTTGCTACGTCATTCTGGCTGCCTTGAACACACTGTGTAGCCCAGGCTGGCCTCAATCAAATTCTCAGTGATCCTCCTATCAGCCTCCTGAGGAGTGGGATTACAGGTGTATGCCACCATGCCTGGGTTAGTATAGAATTTTGTACTAAGTAGAATTTTGTACTAAGGTAGTTTATTATTGAGACATTCATTGGATACCAAGAATACTATTAAGATTTAGCATAAGCTTTTAAGAGTTAAAAAAAAGTTTTATGATAAGCTAAAGATTAAGCTAATAGTTTTTTAACGCATAGGGGAAAAACATTGTAAAATGGATTTTAAAACATTGGCTTTAATCACATCCCTAAAATGTTTTTCAGTTGTAATCAATACTACATACTGATGTTTAACTTTCCTGGAACGAAAGGCTAAGACTAGTTAGAAAACCTGAATACAGGGAAGTCAACCAGGGTAAAGATGAGTTTGGCTCTGGTTTCTGAGTTATGAACTTGGAATGTATTTTCTTTGGGTAAATTGCAAAACTTTGCCTAGCAGTAGATACAGCATTAAGTATCATGCTTTTGCCTTTAAGAGTTACCATACTGACAAACAAACTGAATACTGTATTTTAGGCCAGACCCATAACTGCCTTTCAGCACCTTCTGCCCTCCCAGTAGCTCCTCTGTGTAGCTCTCATCCTGAGCCCCAGTGCTTGTCTGCGAGTGCAGAGCCCATCTCTGTTTAGAGTTGGGGCGGGGAGTGGAGAGGAGGCACTGTAGAGATGAGTGCAGCTCTGCCACTGGCTGCACGGGCTCTCCTCCTTCCACTGTCCTGTCTGTTATACCCACTGGAGGGAAGGAGGCTGCAGGCCCCGGAGCAGCTTCCCTCCCCTGGGCAGGTGATGGGGGTGCAGGAGACTGGAGAAGCCCCTGGCCCTTCTGGGGGGCAGAGTGAAGCCTGTCCTGCCTCCTGCACAATCTTTCTCCTCGCCACCACTCCCCTCTCACCTCTGGGACGCCCACCTCTTCGCCTCAACTGCAAGGGGCCTTTTTGTTGCTTACCTTGCTCCCAGGGTGAAGCCAGCCCATTCTGGGGTGAGAATCTGAGGGCTAAGCACATTCACCGCTTTGCACTTTTGACAAGTGAGACCACATGACTGACAGACTTTCTTTCTTTCCTTCCTTTCTTTCCTTTTTTTATTGGTTTTTTTGAGGCAGAGCTTCCCTTTGTAGTTCAGGCTGGCCCTGAACTCACTATGTAGCCCAGGCTGGCCTCAAACTTGCAGCAGTCCTCCTGCCTCAGCTTCCCAAGTGCTGGGATTACAGGCCTGTGCCACTACACCTGCTCTGCTCACATGACTTTAAAGCTAGACAGAGTTCTCAGGGGAAGCACCTGTCTTCTGGTCTGTAGAGGTGTCCAACTTTGTTTTCTTGCCCTCAGTGGAGACTTTTTTTTTTTGTAGAACTGAATTTTCAACTTTGAAGCTGAATTGGTTCTCACAGTGGTGGTTTGTTTGTCTGTTTATTTTTTGTTTTTGGTACTGGGGATTGAACTTGAGTCCTTGCGCTTGCATGGCAGGGGGCAGAACCACTGAGCTAAATCCCTGGCCCCATCATCTTCTTTATCCAGTCTCCAGTTGATGGACAATTGGGTTGTTTCCAAGTTTTAGCTATTACAAACTGTGCTGCTATTATGTTTTTTTTTTTTTTTGGTACTGGAGATCGAACTTGGGTCCTTGGTGCTTGCCCAGCAGGCAGCGAAACCACTGAGCTAAATCCCCGGCCCCACTATTATGTTTTTATTTTGAGAGTGGGTCTTGCTAAGTTGCCCACGATGGGCTAGAAAACGGCATTCTCCTGGCTTAGTCTCCCACGGTGCTGGGATTACAGGTGTGCACCACTACGCCAGGTTGTTATATTTAAGAATTTTTTTTTCAGCCTGTGTTTTCATTTTTAAATCTTATTTTGGGGGAGGGCTGATCCTAGAGATTGGACCCAGGGCCTTCACACTGAGCTGTATCCCCAGCTGTTTTCATTCATTCATTCATTTTTGGTGGTATTAGAGATTAAACCAAGGGCTTTGACACTGCTATGTCTCCAGCTCTTTTTTTATTTTGAGACATTGTCTCGCTATGTTGCTCTGGCACCAGTTGAACTTGAGATCCTCCTGCCTCAGTCTCTCAGAAGTGCTGGGATTATAGGTGTGTGCCACTGTGTCCAGCGAGCTTGCTTTTCCCTAGAAATAGGAATTTTGACATAAGTGAGTAAAGCTGTGTATACAATTTTATATCTTGTTTCTTAGACTCTTTAAGAAACTCATTTTTCCATACCTCTAAAACACCTTTTTAAAAAATTTTTTTAATGGGGCCGGGGATTGAGCTCAGTGGTTTTGCCGCCTGCTATGCAAGCGCAAGGACCCAAGTTCGATCCCCGGTACCAAAAAAAAAAATTTTTTTAAGGAAGAAGGGTTTTTTTGTATATATATTTTTTGGAACAAAACATTTATTGGATAGAGGACATATCAGATATTAAACTGATAAGAGCAGATACTACACTTGATCTTAGCCAAAAGGCCGAGAAGCGATACAAAACATTTATTGGTAAAATACCTTTAATAATTGCTTAATATTTTGAATTATTTATTCAACCATTCCTCTTTCAGACATAATCTTAACATGTTAGTTATTCACAGTTATACTAAAATGTGGTTATTAGGTTTTCAGCAAAAGTGAGCTTTTTATATTATGGAATTAATACTAAAATTTTAGTGATTTTTGTGGATCTAGTTAATGTTCATCTGGGCATTTGTCTATTATTTTTGGAAAAAAATTACATGGTTTTTGAGCAACAAAATTATCCTTTGGGAAAAATGCTAGTTGCTTTTCACTTCTTACTGAGTGATTACAGATCTCTTCAATCTTGTAAGTGGCATGCATCTAAAATATGGCAGCCACATATTCAGCTGATTAGTATTACTAATTGTAATTGTTTTCAACATTTGGCCATTTACGGAGAAGTTGGGGAATTACCTAGTGGTTTACAAAAGTAACAATAGAAGGGGAACTACCAGATGGGAAATGTGACAAAGTGAGCAGCGGATATAAAGTAGTCCTGGCTTTTACTTTTAAGGATGAAATCCTTAGCTTGAGAATGAGATAAGTGGTGAAAATAGTTTATATTTGGCAGTCTGGTAGTAACTGCCATAATCAGTCCATGAAACTGAGAAGCTTTTCGCATCTAGAATAAAAGCCAGGTGCATAGTAGGTGCTCAGTGACGATTTTGTTGAATAAATATTTAGGAAAAGTACGTTTAGACTGGCATATTTTGACGTGGTAGATCGTGCTTTCTGTTGAACTACGATCTTGAAATAATCCTTACTTTTTTCTAAAGTCAGTTTTCTGATTCAGTTAAAAGCATTGTAATGAACGATATTTGTGGTGCATGAGAAAGGGTTGGTCTGGAGTTAACCTTAGAAGTGTGAGCGCGGCAGGTCACTTTTGCTCTCTTCCTGAACTTAAGCATAGTAGGCGTGGCTGTACATAGAGATCCTTAAGGTCCCTTAGAACTAAGCATCTCTGCTTCTGAGTATGCTGAGTTACCCAGGACAAAAGCTTTGTTAGTGGTGTGCAAAGTACTACTGTGATACAGAGCAAAGACTAGAAAATCATCTATAACGCTTATTCCTTCTGGGGGGTCGCACTGCTGTTAAAGTCTGTTTGTTTTTTTGTCTTCAACAGTCAACGACAACACAAACAGCAGAGTGGTCCTTTGGTCCTTCTTTGAAGCTCTTGTTCTAGTTGCCATGACATTGGGACAGATCTACTACCTGAAGAGATTTTTTGAAGTCCGGAGGGTTGTTTAAAAGGCCTTTTCCTTATGATCCTAAACTCATAATTCACTTGTTTACCAAACACCTTGGTCATAATAGTGTCATTAGTTTCTACATTTTTATTTTTGGAACTGTACATTCACAGCTTATGTTTCTTTGTGATTAATAGATACTGGGGGAAACCTTTTTAGGAAAGTTATAGTGAAAATTTGACATTTGATTGGCATAAAATTTCTTATTTGAATGCTGCCTTCGTTACACAGATCCTTCCAGAATTCAGACACTGTAAACAGAATACAGGAGTCTAGTTTTTTATTATGCTTTATCTTTTTGTTTTCATTAAAAAAAGTTTGTTCAGGAATTCGGCATAAAGCCTGATAGAACCTTACTACAATGACTGCAGTCTCTGGACTCCCTCCTCCTGTGGCTCAAGTCATTAAAGAGTCACTTTGTCCAGCTGTTACATGAAACGGTGATTTCCATCCTGACATTTTCAGCCCGGTGTAACAGCAGAGTGCTCTGACTTGGGAGTGTGTAGCAGGCTGGCTCCTTTTATACTTTCCCCTAGTGTGCTTCAGTCTACGACTTGCCCCAACAAACATTTCCCCCTAAATTTTTCCATTGAACCTTAAGACTGAATCACCCTCCACTTCAACTGGTGACACAAGCAGCGAAACTGACCATTGTTTTCTGCCTAGCCTAAGAAACCTCTGTTAAGCCAGTTCCCTGGGTGTTTCAGCAAATGCCAGCTACTCTCTGTGCTGGGACATCTCTTTTCTCCACTCTTGGCACGTAGGAAATATGCAATCACATCATTGGAAAAGTTGGGATTTCTGATGCCAAAGGGTTAAAGCCTCTTGGGTTTCTTTGCAGTGATAAACAGCCACTATTTTTTCTTCATTCAGAGCACTGAACACCAGTGTCAGTGTCAGCACCGTGGTTCTTGTTTTTGTTTCTCCCGGGTCTTTCTCTTTTGGGACACGTGAGTTTTGTTTTATAGAAAAGGAAAAGATTTCCTTGCTCTCTGATGATGGATTTAAGATTAAAGGAGCTTCTGGTGGTGTGGGAGTGATTCAAGATTATGTTGTGACTGATGTATATTAGTTACTTGTGCATTTTTTTTGATCTTTGCAAGGGGAAAACTGTAAGTAACAATTTTATATAATTAATTTAAATTTGTTACAGGTTTTCATGTTCAGGACAATTTTTCAACCTTGGGTGAAAATACTTGCAAACAGTTTACTAATAAGGTGACTGTTTCACCTTAGGACAACTGTTGCATGCCAATTTTTTTGTGTGGAAACATCTCCAAATTGAATTAAAATATGTAAATTTAAAATTGGCTGTGTATCTAATATCCCCCAGGTTCAGAAAATAAACAATTCTTTTTAAAAACAGTCAGTGTTCTGTGTTTTATATATTAATGGTTGACTCACTTTTGTTAAATACCAACTTTCTATTAGAGATGAGACATTTCCATGTTTTATGTAATTACACCTGCTATAAATGTTACTTTTTATTTCTACAAAGGAGAATAGTGAATAGGAACCCAATTTTAGTTTCCATTGTTTTAAAATTTGGAAAATAATGTGAATTCATGTCTCTTAACCATCTGGCTTATGGATGTGGGAAATGGATTTGAGAGTAAATGATTTGCTCAAGGCCTCAATAAAAGGCTGAAGCAGGGGCTCTTCCTGTAGAAACTGTTCCTCTTCTCCCTTACACTGACTGCTTCTAGGAATGGAGCGATGGCCTCTCAGGACCTTGTAATGGCCTGGCCTGGTGCTAAATGCTTTCCATGCTTTGGCCTATGGCTTGTCACTTCATTACTTCGGGTAAAATCATTTTGGGAACGAGGGACTAGGCTTGGAAAAGGCCTGAATATTAGAGAACTAGCAGAGGGGAAAGAGACCAACAGCTGTGCAGTTCCCTGTGTACTTGGTTCTGAGCTGTCTGGAAGTCCCCTGCCATGAGGTGACGGAAGTCTGAACGAGTGGTATTTCTTCCTCCTCCCATTTATTCATCCCACACATTTGCCCCGTGTGCAGCAGTTACGTTACGAGAAATCACCCTGCGGAGGGCTGACCGTTCAGTGGAGATGAGCCTTCTACATAGTGTGTCAATGGTAAATGTCACGTCGGGAACATAAAAGCAGGGCGGGGGTTTAGTGACTGGAAAGGAAAGCTGTCGTTGAGACGGTGACGTGAAAAGTGGGGTGTGAGGTGCGAGGCACGCACGCATCTGGAGGGGATTTGTCCCGGGAGCCCAGCACACGGCTAATGACAGCGTGCCGAGGGAATGCGTGACTGGACAAACGAGTGGTCCGAGCGGGTGGGAGCACAGGACTGGGAAGACTCGATGAGGACGCCGGCCGTAACTTTCCGAAAGGGACACAAACTTACCGGGCGCTGGGTCCCCACCATCCGCCCCGTCCTGCCCCGGACGTGGAGTTGTACTGCCACCTGCCTCCGACTGGTGGAAGAAATGGAGGAGCCAGGCCAGAGTCCTTCCCGCTGAAATCCCTGCTCAATGTTTTGGAAAGGTAGCCTCAGCCAGGGCGGCGGTGACTCGGACCCGGCCCTTCAGTCGCTTCCGCTGTCCGGTAGTGGCCTTCCTCGCTCCGGGGGCGAGAACACCTTCCTTCCTCGTGGGAACGTTGCCTCCCGGGCACTGTTCCCGGCCGGATGCGGGCGCTCCCGGAAGCGGAAGTGTCGCTGGAGCCCACGGTCGGCGTTTCGGGCGGCTGCGTAGAGCGCCATGGAGCTCGTGACCGAGGGTTCCTGGGAGTCACTGCCGGTGCCGCTGCACCCGCAGGTGCTGGGTGCCCTGCGGGAGCTGGGGTTCCGGTATACGACGCCGGTGCAGGTATCTGACCCGGGGCCAGATCGGGAAGTGAGGCCGGGAGCGGGCGAGCACCTACTTTTTCGTGGGTGACCGAACCAGACGCCAAGCCCCAGGTTCTCACCCCGCCGGGCTTTTGCGAGCTGGCCAATGGTCAGCCGCTAGAGCAGACCCGCGGCTGTGCGCCTGCGCCGGGGTCCTGCCCGACGCTCCCCGCGCCCTCCGGGGCTGCTGGGGCCTCGGGTCCTGGTTCGGATCCCGGGCCTCCCCGCTGTGAGACTGCAAAGACTTAACCTCTCCGGGCTTTATTCTCCGTCTCTGTGAAATGATGAAAATAGCATGGCTTGCCTCAGAAAGTTAGGCATGTTGTGGAAGCTCAAGAAATGTTCACTGTGAAGTTGGAAAAGCGAGGCGTCCTGGCCCCAGTTATTGAAGAAGCGTTTATTGGGGACCTATGTATATCAAGTATTCTAGACTCCGGGGACTTTTCAGTCTTGGTACCTAGGCCTGGGCCTTCGTTTCTAGAGCAGGAGCCACCGTAGAGAAGGAAGGAATGAGGTTTCCACGGGTGCCGAGCGAGGAAGGAACTGGGAGACTGATGTAGAAGTGGGGAGGAGCGGGCCCAGGAGCTCCTCCATCGGTGTCACTGGACGGAGGCCTCGGTGATCCGGAAGGGGTGGCTCTGGGGTGGGTGGGGGGGTGACTGCTCCAGCAGAGAGAAGTGCCCACGCTGTGCCCTGGGGCTGGCTGGAGATGAGCTCGGCGCCCGAAGGACTTGTGGCAGAGCAGCCTGAGTGGTGCATCAGCTGGGCAGAGCCGGGACTGGGTCCTGCGTCCTGCAGGGGCTTGGGTTTGGCTGTGACTGCTTCGTGGAGGACGGACTGTGGAGGGGTAAGAGGAGCAAGGGGCCCATGATTGTCGCGAGAGGTGGGCGGGAGTGGTGGGGAGACAACACATGCAGGGCGGCTCCAGGGTTATGAGGGCCACTTGAGGGGTTAGGAAAGGGGGATCTAGGGGACTGGGGGTTTGTTCTTAGTGGGGTGCCATCTACTAAGATAAGGGCTGTTTGTTTTGGTTTAGTTTAAGAGTTCTGTTCCAGAATGCTGAGTTTGCCATGTCCCTGAGGTCCCCAGGAGAGCAGGAAGGGGGAGCAAGCAGGGCTGGAGATGAAACGGGGAGGCTGTGTGCCACGCCAGGCTTTGAGAGTGTGGTGCCGCCAGCACCCGGTCGCCTTCGTCAGAGCTCAGTGTCTGCAGTGGCCCGGCCACGCCCCTTGCAACTACACGTCCAGATGAGACCCTCTGCATTTTGAAGACTTACTACTGTAGAAAGGAATGGGAAAAGCTATATACTGTGGTGAATGTCTACAGTCTAGCACTCAGGAGGCCGAGGCAGGAGGACTAAATTCAAGGCCAGCTTGGGCTATGTAGCTAGTTTGAGGACAGCCTGGGCTACATAGTGAAACCTGGTCTCAAAAATAAAACCAAAGCCAAAAAACAAGAGGAAAATATCTATTGAAGTGGCAATATTTTAGATATTTTGTGTTAAATAAAATATATTATTGCAATTTTTTTCACTTCTTTCTTTTTCTTTATACCCTACTATACCCTTTGTTTTTGGTTTTTCTTAGTATCGGGGATCGAACTCGGGACTGACCTTGTGCTTGCGAGGCAGCCATCGGAACCACTGAGCTAAATCCCCAGCCCATGTTTTTGTTTTTTGAGACAAGGTTTCACTATGTAGCCCAGGCTGGGTTTGAATTTGGGGCAGTCCTCCTGCCTCAGCCTCCCAAGTGTTGGGATTACAGCCTTGCACCACCGAGCCAGCTCTTACTATAAAGTTTATTAAGTACGGATGTGACTCACATATTTCTATTGGACAATAGTGTCTAGAGAGGGGCTCTCAGCCTGGGTACTGTTGACATTTGGGGCAGAAAATTCTTTGTTGTGAGGCTATCTTGGGGATTGTAGGATATTTTTCAGTGTCCCTAAAATCTATCCAGCAGAGGTCAGTCACTGTTTCACCTGGGCTTGGTTTTATTGAGTTGAGATAGGGTCTTTCTGTGTAGCTCAGGCTGGCCTCAAATTTGTGAGGCTCCTGCCTCAGCCTCCTGAGTCCTGGGATCATAGGATTGTGCTGATTACCAGGGTGCCGACTCATCCTGGATTTTGGTCAGGAGAGATATCTTCAGGGGTTGCAAAGCTTTTCTTGGGGGGAGAGGAGACAGAAGTCACCCACTAAGCTCCACCTCAAAGAGCATTGGGACTGGTACAGTGTGTGCTGAGACTGGGTGAGGAAGGCTCTGGGACCAGGAGCAGAGTCCTGGAGGGGTGACCTCCTGCCCAAGCCTAAGGGCCCGTCTTCGTGTAAGACCTGGAGGCCCTACATGGGGTGTAAACCCAGAGGGTGTATTTGAGTCAGAGCTGGAAGACACCTTAAATCGGAGTGCTGGATGCCTTGGTTACTCTAGGTTCCAGCAGCTACTCGCTGTGTCCCAAGGGCTCGGTGTCACCGAGAATTCATGGTGTTCTTTAACCTGTGCTGTTCGATCTCTCCACAGTCTGCAACCATCCCGCTGTTCATGAAGAACAAAGATGTCGCTGCGGAAGCGGTGAGTGCCTCGTGCCTCAGCCTGTCCCCACAGTCCCTTCCAGTGAACTGGCATGGGGGAGCAGATGGTACCTTCTCTTTCGCCTTTGCAGGTCACAGGTAGTGGCAAAACCCTCGCCTTTGTGATCCCCATCCTGGAAATCCTTCTGAGAAGGGAAGAGAAGCTAAAGAAGAGTCAGGTGAGGGCGTGAACGTGGTTTAACGTCACTTGGTCACCAGAGGGTTCACGGCTCGGGAAGGAGCCGCTCAAACTGGGAAAGTAAAGTACAGTCGGTTCTCATTATTTGTGGATTCTGACTTTTCGCATTTGCCTCTGGTCAGCCAGGGACCTTCCAGAGCTCCTCCTGTTTCCCCTCCTGTATTGTAAGTGTGTGTCCTTCTCATGGTCTGCTTAGTGCCCGGGTTTTTAGATTTCTGGGCTTTTTCTTGGTGATTTCGCTGTCGAAATGGCCCCTTCATGTTTCTCGTCCTGAAAGCATTAGATAAGCTCCTTTCAGTCGAGAGTCATAGAGCTGTTGGTGGTGAGTTTGGTGGTCACAATCAGTGGTAAACAGTAACTAAGATGCCTTTAAGCCAAACCTCCATAAACGAAGGCATTGACTGATGGATGCAGATGGACCCAGATACTTGCGGGCACCTGACCCCGAGCTTCCCGTAGGAGCTGGGCGGTTCCGTGTTCACTCATTCTGTGCTCACAGGTGCGTAATGACAAGTGACTGGAATTCAAGGCAGCCAATACATGCTGTGACCTGTCCTCTGTGAAAGCCCAGGAGGTGCACTTTCCCTGGGCACTGGTCCTCCAGGAGCCGAGGGTGCATGTTTGAGGGTCTCCACTGCCCACTGACCACACCCCTTCCCGGTGGCTAGGTGGGTGCCATAATCATCACCCCCACTCGAGAGCTGGCCATTCAGATCGATGAGGTCCTGTCGCATTTCACGAAGCCCTTCCCGCAGTTCAGGTGAGTTGGATGCTGGTCCCTGTCTGCCCTGGGCCATTGTCCCACCTGACTTGCTCAGAGTGTGCTTCCTGTTTTAGCCAGATCCTTTGGATCGGAGGCAGGAACCCTGGAGAAGATGTGGAGAGGTTCAAGCGACAAGGGTGAGCTTGCTTCCTCTGGCTCCTTGCTGGCCTTGCTGTGGGCCCGCACCCTAGAGGCGTCCATGGCAGACCCATGACTGAAGATGCCTCTCAGGGCCCGTCTCAGGGCTCTTCCCCCAGGCCGGCCTATGGGGTGCTCTGCGGGCTCCTCCTGAGGCCTGGTGCACACTTGCAGCTCCTCTTCTGGCTCGGAAACCCAGATCTGTCCCAGGGCCCTCTTGGCCTTCCTTCTCCTCACTGGGATCAGATGGCTTTTGAGGGCTGTGAAACTTGGTTTGGGAAATCACCAGTATTTCCAAGTTTCAGAGGAGCGGCAGGCGTTACCTTTCTTCCCAGAGGGAACATCATAGTGGCCACCCCAGGCCGCCTGGAGGACATGTTCCGAAGGGAGGCGGAGGGCTTGGCCCTGGCCAGCTGTGTGCGGACCCTGGACGTCCTGGTGCTGGACGAGGCAGACAGACTTCTGGACATGGGATTTGAGGCCAGGTACTGGATTTTGGGTTCCACTGGTGGCAGGCGGGCAGGTGGGTGGTGCTGGTAGAAAAAGCAAAATGAAGTCCGTTATTGCTTCAGGACTACTGGAATTTCAGATCATTAGGTAGCTCAGGCCTTCACATTCTGTCATCATTTCCTTTCAATTCTATCTTGGATTTTCTTTTTAGTTTGTTTGTTTTTTTGGGTTTTTTTGGTACTGGGGATCGAACTTGGGAGCTTGTGCTTGTGAGACAGGTGGCAGAACCACTGAGCCCTCTTTGATCTTCTTAAAATGTGCTTTCCTTCAAGTTTTTGTTGTTTAGTAAACAGCAGTTTTAGAGGATATATAATTGACTCACATAAAGTCTATGGGACAGTGGGTTTTAGTCTCACAAAGTCTCTTATGTTCACACCCATTATGCTTGTTTGCTTATATTGGAAATGCCTGGGAAAAGTGAGAGTGTAAAGAAAAAACAAGTTGCCTATAATTTTACTTCCAGTACCATCAACTATAACTATTTTTTTGGCTTCTCTTCCAGTTTTTTTTTTTTTTTTCTGAGACAGGGTCTTGCTCAGTTGTTCAGGCTGGCCTAGAACGGAACTTGAAGCAGTCCTTCTGCCTCAGCCTCCCGAGTGCTGGGATTACAGGCATACACCACCACACCTGGCACTTCCAATCTTTTAAAATATCCATTTAGCACGTCTGTTGACTGCTGGTAGGCACGGGATGAAGTGCATGCTGTCTTCTCTCAGCATCAACACCATCCTGGAGTTTCTGCCGAAGCAGAGGAGAACGGGCCTTTTCTCGGCCACACAGACGCAGGAGGTGGAGAACCTGGTGCGCGCCGGGCTCCGAAACCCGGTGCGTATCTCGGTGAAGGAGAAGGGCGTGGCAGCCAGCAGCACCCAGAAGACACCCTCGAGGCTTCACAACTACTACATGGTGGGCACCTCGATGGCCAGTGTTCTCGGGGTCCGCTTGGGGGCCACTGGGAGGGTAGATCTGTACCATACGACCTGGTGACACAATGGAGATGTGTTGAGGGACAGAGCCAGGATGAGTGATCTGAATGACAGATGAGCAGTGTCTCAGGACAGCATCTCTGAATCCACCCAGCAGACCAGACATTTGTATCGTGTGTGTGGGTGTGTGCGGTTGGCACCCAGGGGCCCGGGGCGTCAGATGGCACCGTTGTCACCGGGGCATGGCTTGGCAGACCATGCAGGAGACGTGTGGGCCAGTGCTGTGTTTCTGACCTGTACCCGAGCACTAAATTGAAAATAGCTATGGGGATTATTGATTTTTAAAAATTCCTTTTTTGGTTGTAGGTATGTAAGGCAGATGAGAAGTTCAATCAGCTGGTACATTTTCTTCGGAATCACAAGCAGGAGAAACACCTGGTCTTTTTCAGGTAACCCCTCTGGGCTTTAGTTAGGGGGGGCTGGGACTCACCCCCCACCCACAGTGTACCGGGGTTGCAGCCCTGGGGTCTCAGTCCCAGGCAGGATGGGCCTCAGGCTGCCAACTGCTGTGGCGCCGAGGGGAGGGCTTGGGTTTCTGCTGTAGAGAAGTCCCAAGGCCCGCACGTCTGACCCCGCCTCTGTCCCAGCTCTCAGCGTTAGTGCTTCTGCAGCAGCCCTGGCCTCTCCTGGGTGCTGTTTCATTACCCAGGTGCCAAGGGCTACATGGCGAGACCCTGTCTCAAAAAACCAAAAAGTGGGCCGGGGATGTAGCTCAGTGGTTCCGCTGCCTGCCTCGCATGCACAAGGTCCTGAGTTCGATCCCTGGTACCAAAAAACAAAAACCCAAAAAGTTCTCAAAAATATTCCTGCTTTTCTTGTGGAGAACCAGGCGGGCATGTCTGCTCTGAAGGCAGCGATGGGGGCGTGGGGAGCACTGTCTGCCTTTTTGATCAGAAGGTGAAGGCTCTCTGGAGCTGCTCTGCCCTCTCGGACTTCGCTGAAGGAAGTGGTTGAGCAGCACCCAGTAGGCCCCGGGGCGTTTCCTGTGGTCACAAAGCCAGCCAGGAGCACCGTGCACATTCTTTGGGCTGGCTTGTTCCCCCTCTCCTTCAAACAGAGCTGTGTTCAGTTTTGACAGTGTCAAAAAATTGTGTCTTTTCCATCCATCACTCTACCAATAAAGAGTGTTAGTCTTTGATCCCTGGTACCAAAAAAGAAAAAAGAGTGTTAGTGGTATGGACCCTGATCCCAGGAAGAAAACTAGGTATACACATGCGTGCGGACACACTGAGAACACAAAGGTCACAGAACTGCACACTGCTAGGTGGGATGCAGTCTTACGTTTTCTATTCTGTTTACCTGTTAAAATGCTGGCTGAGACCACTAAGTTGATTTCCAAGCCCTCCAGGCTGCTTTTGGTTGTCAGTGAATATTGTCATTATGTACTGCAAACATGTACTTAGAAAAAGAAGTAAGGGTTGCAGCCCTTAGTGTGTAAAGCACCACCTTAATGTACGCTCGTGAGCCTCATGGAAATCAGCGAAGAGTAATGGTCTCCTGGCCCAGCGAGAGGTATTTAAAAAGGAGTTGGGGGCCTGTGTGGTGGGAAGAACTCTGGAGGAGCTGGGCCTGGCTCGTAGGTTTGCCGCTTGCTCGCATTCCCTCTTGGTGAGGTTTACTTCCTTCAGCTGTAAAAGGATGTGGGCTCTTCCCACTTAAGTTTTAGGAACAGGTTTTGCGGTAAACTGCTCAGATACTTAAAGCAGAGCACCCCAACCCGGGCAGAAAGCTTTAGCAGCATTCCAGAGCCATCTCTGTAGAGCAGTCCTTTTGAGGTGACTGCTACAGCCCCCTTGTGTCTTCAGCAGTCACCCCAGGGTGAGAGAGGATCCGCTTGGTCAGCTGGGTGATTCCTGAGCCCTTGGGAATCCTGCTAATTGAGGAAAGGAGTGGTTCTCTGCGAGGAAAGCAGGAATATTTTTGAGATCTTTCTGGTTTTTTGAGACAGGGTCTCGCTGTGTAGCCCAGGCTGGCCTTGAAGTCACAGGGATCCCCATGCTGGGATTACAGGCTGGCCCCCCTACACCTGGCCCTTTACTTGAACATCTTTAGGGAATGGGCTACTTCCTGGGGTTTTGACTCATGTTTAAAGGAAAGATTGGCCCCGACCCGGAGCTCAGTTGTGGATGCCTTTGAGGCCATTCCGCCCCTTGTCCTCCCAAGAGGCTCTGCCATTGGTCCACTCGCCTGCATGTATCGCTGGCCGCTGCCTTCCCCAGCTGCAGGACTGAGCCCCTGTCCCCCTCCCAGCACTTGTGCCTGTGTGGAATACTACGGGAAGGCCCTGGAGACCCTGGTGAAGGGAGTGAAGATCATGTGCATTCACGGGAAGATGAAGTACAAGCGCAACAAGATCTTCATGGACTTCCGCACCCTGCAGAGGTGAGGCGGACTCGCGGGCGGTGGTCAGGCTCCAGTGCCGCACCTTTCCTGGTGCCCACAAGCGCCTGTCCCCACCCGGAGCCTCTTCCGCCTTGTGCCATTTCCGAATGTTCTCTGTGGGAGCAAAGCTCCCATTCCTGCCCTGATGCCCTGTGTGCTTGGCTGAGGCCACTTCTGTCCCTGCCCAACTGTAGGCCCTGTGAGGACAGGAGGGACGTGGTTCCCTCGCACTCCCACCCTCTTGGGCTTGGCCAGCAGGGGTGTTGGTCAGTTTGTCCCCTGGACGAAACCACTTGTAGGCGGTCAGGGTGGTGACCATGCGGCAGGGAACTGGGGGTCCTGGTGACCACAGTTTGGTTTTATTTTATTTCTTTTTATTTTTTTATTTTTTGGTACCAGGGATTGAACTCGGGACCTTGCGCTTGTGAGGCAGGCACCAGAAGCACTGAGCTAAATCCCTGGCCCCACAGTTTGGTTTTGTTTGTGTAAATAATCCTTTTCTATCAGTCATGGTGCAGTCACACAAAAGCCCTGGAGGGCCCAGTGACATAGCCAGCTGGTGCTCCTCACAGAGCGAATGTGCCACCCATCCCCTGAGGTAGCTGCTGAGGGCCAGGCCTGCCACTGTTCAGTTTTGGTTTTCCAGTGGAAACATGAATGTAAAAACAATCTTTCACTGTCTCCTCCACTGCCTGTTTATATTGGGAACTTGTTAAAGACCTGGAGATTCTTGGGGACAATACAAAAATGGAAATATTGCCATCAGTCAGATTGTTTCGGAAACTGAACCTCATTGAGGCAGGAACCTAGAGGGCCATGGAGCTGGTCTCCTCCTCCTCAGCGCGTGCACGCTCTCCTCTTGCAGTGGGATCTTGGTGTGCACAGACGTGATGGCCCGGGGCATCGACATTCCCGAAGTGAACTGGGTTCTGCAGTACGACCCTCCCAGCAGCGCGAGGTAGGTGCCATAGGAGCGGCTGTCTGTCTAGGAGAGCGGGCACTGGGAATGTCCAGAGCATCATCATTGTCCACAGCAAAAGTAGGGAGTGGGCAAACACCCTGGGGTGGGTGTGTCAATGGCAGCGTCATATTTCAGCAAGTAAAGCTGCTTTCAGATTCTGAAAGTTCTTGCAGAGATGGACAGTAGGTGGATGCTTAAATGAAAAGAAGCAAAATCCCGGGTGTGGAAATGGCAGTGGTGTTCCCCAAAGTGAGCCCATATTCCTGATACACTTCCAAACGTACGGAAGTGTGCGTGTGGGCCCCCCCCCCCAGGATAAGCACCGCCACTGCTGAGATTACTTTTTTTTTGGTACCGGGGATCAAACTCGGGTCCTTGCGCTTGTGCAGCAGGCAGTGAAACCACTGAGCTAAATCCCTGACCCTACTTTTATTTTTTTTGAGACAGGGTCTTGCTGTGGAGTTCAGGCTGGCCTCGAACTCCCCAAAATCATCCTGCCTCAGCCTCCCAAGTGCTGGGATTATAGGTGTGTACCACCATGCCCCGCCTTTTTATTTTCTTTATACTTTTTATTTTTGTTCTTTTTTTGTTTTTTGAGACAGGGTCTCACTATGTAGCCCAGGCTGACCTTGAACTCATGGCAGTCCTCCTGGCTCAGCCTCCTGAGTGCTGGCATTGTAGCCATGAGGCACTACACTCAGCTATTTATACTTTTCATTGCTTCCCACATTTTTTGCTCCAACCTTGTCCTTCTTGTCTGATCACAGAGAAAGATACAGATTTCACTTAAGTATGGCTTTGAGTTGGAAATAAACATCTCTCACAGGGTCCTGTCTGTCTGCAGTGCCTGTCAGTTGCCAGCTGTCCCGTTCTCTGGGGGCAGAGTCCCGTGGGGCACTGCTCACCTTCTCCCGGGTCCACTGGCCCCCACCTGTGTCCCCACAGTGCCTTCGTACATCGCTGTGGCCGCACGGCCCGCTTTGGCCATGGTGGCAGTGCCCTGGTGTTCCTGCTGCCCATGGAGGAGGCCTACGTCAGCTTTCTGGACATCAACCAAAAGGTAAGCGCTCCTCTGTCCATACCAGACACCCCTTCTCCAGTGTGGGGAGCAGCTCAACAGGGTGCACAGCCCCACCGGCAGCCACTGCAGGGCCCAGGTTGAGGGTCATACGAGAAATTGCATTTTCTAATTTTATTTAAAACACTTTTCCTGCTAAGGAAAATGCTAGGGTTGGACTTAGGCTTTGTTATGCCGTGGTTTTCTGGGTGCCGGGCATGCAGTCAGCGCTGGGGGTGTGGTGCGGGGCCAGGGAAGGTGGCAAGTGAGTGCCGTGTGCAGTGCCCGCTGCAGGAGACACGGCGCCAGGGGAACGTGGCAAACCTTCTGCCGAAGCTCCAGGCCATGGCCCTGGCCGACAGAGCCGTGTTTGAGAAGGGCATGAGGGCCTTCGTGTCCCACGTCCAGGCCTACGCCAAGCACGAGTGCAACCTCATCTTCAGGCTGAAGGGTGAGTCGGAGTTTGCCTCCCAGTCATTCCCTCTACCTGGTGGCGTTGAAGGTGTGAAACTGCTTCATCATAGTAAAATGTGCGCCACACGTTAGCTTTGATTACGGGGGTTTTTGTGGCCAGGAATTGAACTCAGGGCCTCACACTTGCTAGGCAGGCGCTGTGCCACTGAGCTACATCCCAGGCCTTGATTGATGTTTTTTAAATGTTTTAAGAGGACATCTTCCCAGGCTTTGGGTAGACAGAATAAACCAGGGCCGGGGATTTAGCTCAGTGGTTCCTGCGCCTGCCTTGCAAGCACAAGCTCCTGAGTTTGATCCCTGGTACCAAAAAAAAAAGTTTATGTACTTCCAGAATAAACTGGCCACTGGCTGCTGAGTGTGCCTTTTTATTTTGTACAAATGGAATTAACTTTACTTTTTTTTTTTTTGAATTAACTTTACTCTTAAAAGGAATCCATGAAGTTAGTAAAGATTCTATTTTGAAAAATCTTCCATTACTGACTCCTGAAACTGTCTTCTGGGTGTGCTAACTCTGCTATTTTGGTTTCATCAGATCTTGATTTTGCCAGTCTTGCTCGAGGTTTTGCCCTGCTGCGGATGCCTAGGATGCCAGAGCTGAAAGGCAAGCAGTTTCCAGATTTTGTACCTGTAGATGTTAACACAGACACGATTCCATTTAAAGACAAAGTCAGGGAGAAGCAGAGGCAGAAACTACTGGAGCAGCAAAGAAAAGAGAAGACGGAAAATGAAGGGAGAAGGAAATTCATAAAAAATAAAGCCTGGTCAAAGCAGAAAGCCAAAAAGGAAAGGAAGAAGAAAATGAATGAGAAAAGGAAAAGGGAAGAGGTAAACTTTGCAGTTTTCCTTATTGCTTAAATTCAGAACAAGCTGGGTGTGTGGCACATGCCTATGTGATCCCAGCACTCGGGAGGCTGAGGCAAGAGGATCACTGTGAGTTCAAGGCCAGCCTGGGCTACATAGCTAGAGTGTCTTAAAAAAAAACAAACCCCAAAAACCAAAAAAACAGAGCAAACATTCCTGTAGTAGAATCTTAAGAGTGGGAGCTGGCAGGGCTGCAAGTTTTTGCACTGTGTGGGTTACCGGGTGGGGGCGGCGCACACTGGGACCGAGATTCAGTATCGGATGCCTCTTCTGCATGCAGGGATCCGACATCGAAGACGAGGACATGGAGGAACTTCTTAATGACACAAGACTCTTGAAAAAGCTTAAAAAAGGCAAAATTACGGAAGATGAATTTGAGAAGGGGTTGCTGACAAGCGGCAAAAGAGTAGCCAGGACAGCAGACCCAGGGCTCAGGGAGCCAGAGGATGGCTGCTGACTGAGTGCCTCAGCTGAGGTGCAGTGGGAACTGCACCGTGTGCCTAGCTTTGGAGACGGCAGAGGAGAGCAGCAGTCTCTGCAGATGGGGCTTTGAGCGGGCTTCACTGTGGAGCCCTTTACCGAGTGTCCCAGACTTGATGTCTAATGGGGAAAATGTAAAGTGACTTTGGTGTAAATAAAAGATGTTGCTATTTGTTTTGATGGTCACCTATAATTAAAGAGCACTTTTCTCCTGAGATTATGTTATACTGATTTTTTTTTTTTTTTTTTTGGTACCGGGGATCGAACTCGGGTCCTTTGTTACACTGATTTTTAACACAAAGATGTCGACGTATACTTGACTCAGGTCCCTGTCCCCGCTTCATCTGACCCTTGACCCCCACACAGCGCCTGCCAAGTGGCGAACTGCAGGCTTTCCTTTTGAGAACAGTCCCCAGTGCTGTTGATTGGCAAGTCCCTGAGAAACAGGAAGCCACCAGACATCCTGAGAAGCAGGTGGCGGTGTTGCTCAGCCTTCTGTGGGAGGCACCACGCAGCTCCCTGTCGACCGCACTGGGTGCAGAGCCATAGGGGCAGCGTTTTCACCAAGGCCAAAGTCCAAGGCGTGGAATGAGCTGGCAGTATCAAGGCTACACTGTATCAAAATTGTAAAGATGTTCGGTTCATTCCCAACTCTGATTTTTTTTTTTTTCCCCAACTCTGATTTTAAAACTGTTCAGAACCCAAACGTGGTTAAAGGAAAAATCCCATCTTTTTCAGATACAGAATTTAGGTTTTGCAAATACTCCAGAAGGGAGGCGTCTCCGTGAGTGCTCCTGCAGGCCTCTTCCTCACAGCTGGCACTGCCTGGCTTGACCCTGCTGCAAGTCCCGTGAGTCTCCTGCCTTCCTTATGGGGCACCGTGTGTAGTGTCCTGGCCAGCTGTTGGTCACTGCGGCAGAGGGACAGCCATCTGCAGCCTGCGTCGCTTCCGTGGACGCATTCGGCCAATCAGGTGCATGAGACAGGGTGGAAGGCGGTGCTGGCTTTTGTTGCTAAGGTGGCTATAACGGGTTCCTGGAAACCGACTTGACTGCAAGTTCGTGGAGACTAAGATTTAGGTTTGGGTTTAGAACAAATTTTACATAGGACTGAGTCATGAATAAAAAAAGACACTCCAGGGTTTTTGATTTAGATCCTTTGTCCACAAATTTGCATTATAAACCAGCTGAGTTTGGGCCAGGCTCACAGTGGAGACGTGGCCATCAGATGTGGGCAGTGGGGAGCCTGTGCTAGAGGTACAGCTTGATGAGCTCATCGCTGACAGCCGAGGGCGTGAGCACGCCCAGGTCTGTGAACAGCAGGGTGATTAAGGAAGGGGAGGTGTAGTCCACCCATGGGTGCTCCTCCTTGAGGTCCTGCCTGGTCTGCGAGGACTTCAGGGTGTCTGCCTTGTACTGTGGAGAGAAGCGCCTGTGTCAGCCGGCTCTGCACCCAGCAGGGCCCCGGCCACAGGGTGGGGAAGGCGGCTTCCAAGGGGATGGCACGTGGCCTCTGGGCCACCTGAACCAGTGCCCCTGGGAGTGCTGGGTGGACCCCAGACCTGGATGGGGAGCTGTGTGCCAGGCACTGTGCCCCCCCCCCCCATGGACGGAGGCCTCCTGTCCGATGCCACCCCACAGTACAGCTCAGGAAACGAGTTCAGCAGACACAGTGACAGCACAGGGCCAAGGTCACAGGGTTTGTGGTGGTGGACCTGGAAGCTGAGCCCAGCCAGTCAGTGACAAAGCGGGGACCTCCCTGCGTCCCCCAGTCCCACAGGGTGCTGCTCACGTGATGAGGAACTTATCCCACGTGTGGCACAAAATGGTAACTGGAAGTGAAGAACTTTCTGGAACATTCTGAGCGCTGCAGTTTTGCAGGGACTCAAGCACCCCTGCCCGAGTAGAACTTGCCTTGAACTTATCAGGAACGTCCTGCTGGTTCAGTGGGAAGAGCCGCACAAACTTGAAGCTTTCTGCAACCACGTAGAAGGGCTTGTTCTGTGCCTTGGCACACACAGCCATCTGGTTGGTTCCAATCTGGGGGTCAGGGAAACCGGAGAAGGGTGAGCTCCTGAGGCACATTTGAAGCAGAAGCAACAGACAGTGTAGGAATCAACATAATACACGTAATTCTGGTTTTGGAATCAAAGGGGACCTTTGGAAAAAGAAGAGAATAGGTGTTTCTCCAAAGATACACAAAGGGCTGGTAGGCACCCTAGGCAGGGAAAGACGCTGAGGATCACTGGTTAGCAGGGAAATGTGATCGTAACCACCAGGAGATAGTGGTTCGCGTGTCCCAGGGACTAAGATTCCCATTCATGGACGTCCGCAGGGTGAGCTCTCAAGAGCCAAAGGGGGAACAGCCCAAGTGTCCCCCGGGGAGTGAGCAGTTAAGAGTGTGCGGTGGACACTGTTCAGCGGGAAAGGAATGGTGCACTGGCATACCGACACTGGGCACAAGCCTTGGAATGCTGGGGAAACAGGCCAGACTCAGCTAAGCATGCTATGACTACTTACTTGCTGCTGTACTAAGGATTTAACTGAGGGCCTTGCACATGCTAGGCAAGCATGGGCTCTACTACAGAGCTGCACCCCAGCCTTTTTTACTTTTTAAATTTTTATTTTATTTAATTTTTTGCAGTACTGGGGATTGAACTCAGGACCTTGCGCTTGCCGGGCAGGTGTGGTGCCACTGAGCTACATCCCCGGCCCTTTTACTTTTTATTCTGAGACAGGCAGGGTCTTGCTAAGTTGCCCAGGCTGGCCTCAAACTTGTGATCCTCCGGCCTCAGCCTCCCAGAGCGCTGGGACTGCAGGTGTGGACCACCAGGCCTGGCTATGGTTCTACTTATGTGAGGTAGCTGTACCCAGACTAGGGAAAATCACAGAGCAGAACAGATGTGACAGGGACTGAGGGGCAGAGAATGGCGAGTTTGGGTTCACTGGATGCAGACTTTCTGCCTGTTAAGTTTTCTACACAGCTGTCGCACTGGCAGGACAGTGTGAATGTGCTTACTGACTGCCACTGAACTGTATGCCTAAAACCACTTAAAATGGCAAATTTTATGTTGTATCCATCTTAACCATAATTAAACATATTTTTTCATGAAACTCTTCCAAGTTAAGCAATACTTACAGAAAATGTAATGAAATATAATGAAGTTGAATATGTTCAATTAAAATGAAAACAAAAACCAAATCCCATTTCCAGCTAAGACCCATCGTGTACATATGAACCTCACTGACTTCATCAGACATCAATCTCCACAGAAGGAAATCTGACAAGAGTTTGTCGGCCAGTGCAGTGGCTTGGCGGGGGAAAGGACGATGAGGAGGGGGAAAACGATGCGCAGTGCTGTCAAGAACCTTGAGCTTCCCTACCTTGTTGATGATGCCTCCGTTCTCCACCACACCCTCCGCGCCCACGATGACCAGATCTGCTTTCTCCATGATGTAGCTGGGGAAATGCAAACAAAATGAAGAACTGAGACTCAGAGATTAGGTAAGAAGGCTCAGAAGTTACAAAAAGATCTTCTTTTGCTCATGACCTCACAATCCGACAAACACTTCCTGTTGGAACCTGGAGCGGGCCCACACTTATGTGTGAGGGAGCCAGAGCTGCGTGACAGCACTCGTCCAACCAGTGTGGGACGCTCGAGCTTCCGTTCTACTTCCAGACAAATAAAGCTTTGAAGCCCTGAGGTGATCAGAAGTTGGAATCAAGTGTTACTCAGTTTAAAACTCTTTCTTGTCAGGGATGTAGCTCAGTGACACCGCGCCTGCCTTGCAAGCGCAAGGTCCTGAGTTTGATCTCCAGTAACAAAAAAACAAAAAAAGCAAAACAAAAACAAACCTCTTTCTTGTCAAGTGTGGTTTTGCACACATGTAATCTCCCAGAATTCTGGAAGGTTGACGCAGGAAGACTGCAAATTCAAAAGGCCAGCCTGGGCCAGAGAGCTTCTCAAAATAAAAAAAGGGGGGCAGGGGGCTGGGAATATAGCTCAGTGGAAAGGCCCTGGTTCAATCCCCAGTACTGAGAGGAAAAAAAAAAAAATCTAATAGGGTAAAGACAATTTACCTTTTAAAATGACCAGTTAGTAAAACTGCTCAAAATGCTGTCTTTTTTTGTTGAGACAGGGCCTTGCTGTGTAGCCCAGGCTTGCCTTGAATTTGGAGATCCTCCTGCCTCAGCCTCCTGAGTGCTGGGATTATGGATGTGTACCACCATCCCTGGCTTTCAAAATGTTTTGTCTTAAATCCATTTCTAACTTCCTTCACTATGTATTTTCTTTCCAAGTGGCTCAAGCATTATTTTCTCTGGTGAGACACACAGAGGGCCCAAGGACACGTGGCTTTGGTGTCAGGAGAGAAGCTGCCTGATCTCTGACCACAGCCCATGGCCTGGATGTGTTCAGGGCCGGGCTGTAATTTGTAATCTTGCTGCAGGGTGGCTTTGAACCACCAGTGGTACATGCATGACTGTCCCATTGGGCAGCATGGGACAGTCCTATCGGTGATACAGGCTACCCCATGCGACAGTCCTGCATGTACCCCCACTCATTCAAGCCTGCAGGAGTTAAAGGGACACAGGGCACCCCACTGCTGACTCTGACGGGTGTGACTCTGCCATCTTGCTCTTAATCAGCACTGGCTCTCAGGGGCTCAGGCCCTGCCCGCTAGCACCCACACCCCGTCTTCCAGTGCACTCTTAAGGCCTCATGTAACCTTGTGCTGGTCAGGGCAACTAGGAACGAAGAGGCGGCACCACCACGGCACGGTCAGGACAGGTCTCAGTCCTGCAACCTGAACACCCCTTAGTGCCAGCCCCCGGTTGGGAAAGGACAGGCCGGCGTGGCCAGGGCACAAGGGCACACACTTACCCAACAGCGGCATCCAGCACCACAGTGACAGGGACGTTGAGGTGGCACAGGGCTTTGGCCATTTTCTTACTGAAGGTGACATTTTGAGAATATGAGAGAAAGGCCAAGAAAGTCCCATGTGATGCATGACACATCACTTAACTTACATAGCAATAAACACGTTGGCTTGAAACTCAGTTGATATGAATGCATAAAGGCTCTAGGCTAAGGAGAGAACTGGGGCTCTCTGGAAAAAAGAGCATGAATTTCCAGAAAATTATATTCTTAGGGACTCTGGGGAAGATATAAATTCAGGAAAAAAAGGAGAAAGACTGGCTTTCACTCTCTTCTGTGAATGTCCTACCTCCCAGTGGGTGATGACATCGACAGTCTCCTGCCCTCCTCTGATCTAACTCCTGTGTGTTCCTGTCCCCCTGCAAAATGGGCCCTGCCCCTCGGGCTCTGCAGCACCACTGCTGGGGAAGTGAATGGGAGGTACTTGCCCTGACAGGTCGGGCTGGGACTCTGTGACATATACGTGGAAGCGCTTCTTGGCTGCCATGGCTGCTTCCAGGACTCGCAGGACCACTCTGGAGTAGGCGTGAGTCAAGATCCGCTGCAGAGCGAGAGCGTGGTCAGGAACAGCGCCCGGTGGTCCCTGCACTGTCGGCCCTGCAACTCAGGTTCCCCGCACTCCATGCCTCTCTGTGCCTCTGCACAAATTGACCAGAATTATAAAGGGACCTTAGTAGGACACTGAGTTTCAAGCCCATTTTCAAACTGAAAAAGTTTGCCTTTTTTTTTTTTTTTTTTGGCAGTACTGGAGATTGAACCCAGAGCCTTCATGCAGAGCTATGCCCCTGTCTTTTTAATTTTTATTATTATTATTGTTATTTTTTTTTCCGGTACTGGGGATCGAACTCAGGACCTTGCACTTGGGAGGTAGGTGCAGTGCCATTGAGCTAAATCCCCACCCCTCCTTTATTTTTTTATTCTGAGATGGGAGGTCTTTCTTTTTTTCTTTCTTTCTTTTTTTTTTTTTTTTTTTTTTTCTTTCTTTCTTTTTTTTTTTTTTTTGATACTAGGGATGGAACTCGGGACCTTGCGCTTGGGAGGAAGGTGGTGGCACCTCTGAGCTAAATCCCCGGCCCTGAAATGGGGTCTTTCTAAATTGCCCAGGCTGAGCTGGTACTTGGGATCCTCCTGCCTCAGCCTCCCAGAGTGGTGGGATTATAGGTGTGTGTCACCACACCTAGCTCTGTCATGTATTTAATAATGTACTCAGAGGGGGACAATAAAACAGAAGAGTTAAGAGTCAGGATGCAAGTATTTTTATGGTGAGCAAGGGCTGAGCTGGCACTGGGACAGACATCATCAGAGTTTTATCATCCTGTGCTGGGAGCCTGGCTGAACTCGAAGCTCCTGCCTGTCCTTATTGGCAGCTCCACCCACTGTAAGGGCATCAGGAACGAAGTTACAAAGGAAATCTCCATCCAGCGGCAGCCATTGCTCAGAGGGTGCTGGGTGTTGACCAGTGACAAGCACTGGTCTGTGTGGACTGAATTAATTACACAGCCAGTCATAAAAATACTTCTTTAGAAGGACATCTTTCTGGACAAGTGCTCTACCCTCTGTTCATTCCCAGCCTTGTCTCAGTGTTTCTCTCTGCCCGTTTACAATGACAAGTGTCTATAATGATGCCGTCTGCATTTACAGTGCACTGAGCCCTTATGTTTCCCATCTCATGTAACCCTAGCAACAACCCAGTTGCTCCCCTCATCACAGATGAGAAAACTGCAGCACATAGAGGCTAAGGAAGCTGCCCACAGTTACCCAGCAATAACAGCAGAGCTAGGAGTTCAGCCCCAGCAGTCTGACTCCAGAGCCCTTGCTCCTGACTACCCGTGCTGCACAGGTCTACTTACTGCCCCGTCTTTGATGAATGTATGGCACAGATCGGCGATTTTATTTCTCGACAGGGATATTCTCCTGAGAAAGAGCTCTCCCCGCTCAATCATGATCTTTTTACACTTGGAGTAATCCTAGGAAGAAAACAGCAGAATGAGAGTGGATGGAGGTGAAGCTAAGAGTGGGTTACTAAGTGAGGGGGCATGGGGCTTACAGAGTACTCCAAGGAGGTGAGGCTGATGAAGCGGAGGAAGAGCTCCCCGCCGGAGGACACCGCCACTGAGGAGTCCACGCTGCACAGTGTCTCTATGGCATTGGTAAGATTCGCTCTCAGGCCCTGGATTGTCTCCCCTGGAACGATCAGGTAAGGAAGGTGGTGTTCATTTGAGGGTCATGGCCCTTGCTGGGTCTGCCATCATTGATTCACTCATTCATTTATTCATTCATACGGTGAATTAAGTAGTGGGTGCATCTGCAGCCAGACAGTGCTCTGGGTGCATGGGGTCCATCAGTGAATGAGACCACATGCTGCTGTAGTGGAGGATGTAGAAAATAAATAGCACACAAACCAATAAGGAAGGGAATTACAGATCATAATGACAGAAAGCAGCAGAACGATGAAGAAGGTGTGGCTCATGAAATGAGTGAGGGCCACTTAAACTGAGCCTGATAAGGGCCCAGCCACATAAAGACCTGAGGAGAAGGTGCCAGGCACAGACCGTAACAATGCAAAGGCCCCGTGATGGGAACAAGCTCAGAGTAAACCACAAAGAGGCTGGCAGGTGAGGACAGCATGGAAGATAACTAAGTAGCAGAGGTGGATGAGTCTGTTAGACAGTGCAGGGGAGCCTGAGGTGTTCGGGCATTGTTTTAAGTTGAGTGGGAGGACATGAGAGACTACCTTAGAAATGTGTGACTGTAGGCCAGCCCTCCAGATTAAAGAAGCCGTTATTATTTCGCTTATACATGCTATACCCAGATGATTACATTTAGGAGGCCGAATTAGTAGGAGATCACAACAAATGATATTACTATCTGGATTTATTCTGCAACATCCTCTGTTGTAGCTGCACAGAATCTGGGACAAAGTAGAAGCTCAACAAACATCTGTAGAGTGGAACTATTTTAACTGAAGCTCCATGGTTAGTTGACATTAGATATCAGATGATCACTCTTGATTCAAAGCACATCCCATTTACAGAAGGGACCTTTGGATGATAACGTGAGGGCTTTGTCCCAGATAAAAGGCTTGAAACGGAGGCAGAAGCTGAGCTTAGGCTGCATCAACTCATGCAGGCAAAATGTGTCTCTCACTTTCTACCTTTCTTATCATGGGAAGACTTTCCTAAAGCCCAGAGTGTTCAAGGATGACCTTTACCTTTATCTCTCTTCAAGAACTCCAGCAAAGTACGGATGGCAGCCACTGCTGAGGCCATGTCAGGATCCTCTTTCATCTGAGTCTTAAAGTATTCAATTAACTCTAAGAAGGAAGAAAAAAGTGATTCATCACAATCATTTAGCAGGATGTGTGGACAGCTTCTTAATGATTGTTGATCTTCAGAACCAAAATCACTTAAAAATACTCTTTTTTCAGGATATTTAGTTTCCTGATAATGTTGATGCAAATAGACTTTAACCACTTTACTGTTTGCAAGATCTCATTTCTAAAAAGCTATCAGTGGGGTTTGGTGGTGCACAGCTGTAATCCTACCCCTCTGGAAGGCTGAGGCAGGATTGCAAATCTGATCTCAGCTGGGGCAATTTAGCATCTTTGTGAGGATCTGTTTTAAAAGTAAATTAATTTTGGGCCAGGGATTTAGCTCAGTGATGCCGCCGCCTGCCTCGCAAGTGCAAGGTCCCGAGTTCAATCCCTGGCACACACACACAAAAAAGTAAATTAATTTTAAAAAGCTATCAGTGTGCAGTACACAAAATTTAACCCCTAAGGTTCAGATAATGTAGTCATTCTTGCTCCTCTTACTGGCAGTATGTTCTGAGAGGACTCCAAAGCCATTCCCTAACCAATGTGTCCTGCACCCCTCGGGACAGTCTATGTCTATTCACACACACACACTCATGTACACATGCATATATACGAATGATTCCACCCACATTACTTCATGCACGGTATTATATTCATTTGCACTTTTTTTTTAACTTAATAAAACACCTTGATGACCACAATGGATGAGAACGGCAAAGATGCTTTTTGACTCTAGTAACAAACCTATCGGGGCAAGGATTCTTGCACCTATTTCACATCTGAAGACATGGGGACCGCGAAGGCCTGCGGCCTCCATCCGAAGTCTAAAGTTTCTGCAAGATCGTGTATGGGAGTGGGGTCTGCGGATGCTCTCAGGGCCCCTCCCTCGGATACGGGACCAGGGAGGGAGATTTACTTGACTAGAAGAAACAGAGCCAGCCAGCAGCCAGAGCTTGGACGGCGATCTCTGCCTGGGGATGAGAGATTGGGGAGACTCCTGTGAGGATCCACGGCTCTGGCCGCCCCAACTTACCCTTGTCGTCCATGGTGCCCTCCGGAAGGCGGAGCCGGAGGGGTCTGGAATCACCTGCTCGGCTTCTAGCGAGTCAGGCGACCGCGCCGGCTGTGACTGACAGCGCGTCGCGCGTCTTTACGCTACTTCCGGCGCTTTGGAGGCGTGGCCATGAATACAGCGAGCGTCCCGGCCCAAACCACCTTGCGTCATTCGGCGGCGCCGGAAGTAGGGGTTCGCTGGCTTCTGGACGCTCGCTTGACCGCTTCTTGCTCGGCTTCGAGGGCACAGTGTCGCCATGGTCTCAGACGGTGAGGGAGTGGCAGGAACAGGCCCCGACCCTCGGGCTGGGCGGACTCGGCAGAACCAGAGCCTGCCAAATGGATTGTATCTTTGGGCTGGGCGGAATCTGTTCGGTGTTTAGAGGAGTAGCCAGTGTGCCCATTCATTCTTTCAGTAAACATTTTTGGATCGCCTTCTGCGTGCCTGGCATTGTTTTCTGCACTGGGAAAACCTCAGAAATGCATGTTAAGTACAGAGCGCCCTGAGGGAGGTCGAGATACCAGGTTTTAGGGGGCTCCTGGGAATGCAGGCAGGTAGGGACACTTTGACGCATTACCAGTTATAAAGCCTTGATGTTTTGAAGAAAGAGGAGGCGAACGAGATGAACTCAGAGAACTAGCCAAATTTGGGCCATGCAGGGTCTTGTGATCCAATAGGTTGTGCTTTATATTTAATGTAATATAAAGCTGTTGTAGTGTCTTAAGCAAAGAATTGTTATGGTCTGATTTACAATGGTGAGAGATCACTTTGGGGCTGGAGGTGTTGCTCAGTGGTAGAGCCCTTGCCAAGGATGCTTGAAGCCCTGACTTCAACTCTCAGCGCTGAAAAAAAAAATCACTTTGGCTGCTGTGTGGAGAAATGGATTTTGCCAGGCCTAGCATTGCTGGTCTGAAAATGAGGTGGAGACATGAAGAAGGACATTCACAGAGACATTGCAGGAGCATAAATATACAGTTCTGACAGGCAGCACTTTTTCTTAAGCTTTTTGGTAGTAACAAGGATGAGTAGTCCTGACAGTTGTAGGGCGGGGCCTGATGGGAAATCAAGGCCAGAGGCTCAAGGGTTTTAGGGGAGACCTGTGCGAGACATAGTTATTAAGTGCTTGTTCTGTGGGTTGCACTTTGTTGTGTGATTTGCACGTATTATTTCAACCTAGGATTAGCAAAAAGCATCATCTCCCTCTCTTTGTGATACTGGGGGTTAAACCCAGGGCCTCGTGCATACTAGGCTAGAGCTCTGCCACTGAGCTACATCCACAGCCCTCACATTCCTTATGGAGTCCACAGTGCAGGAGGGAATTCTGGGAAGAGCGATCGGAAACACTCAACTTACTACAGTCAGCTGCTAGTGAGTGCTGTGTTGCTAGAAGAGAGTTGGTCATGTTGTGGGTGATCAGGTAGTCGGTACCACGAGTACTGAGAAATGATTGGCTTCTCCACTTGCTAAGAGTCCACGTGACTCCACAGGTTACTTCCATTTCTATAATGGGAATAGCATATACCATATTTCATCTAACCTGAGACAGTATGGATTATGAAATATGCCTTCATTTAAGGTAGCGTCAAGAGCCAGGCATGGTGGTGCATGCCTGTCATACTAACACTCAGGAGGCTGAGGCAGAAGAATTGTTGCAGGTCCAAGGCCTCTGGGGTACATAATGAGTTCAAGGCCAGTCTGAACTATATGCCGAGACCCTGGCTCAGAAAAGCAAATAATAAAAATAAACCCCTAATCACAGTCAGCCTTGTTGCTGCCTGATTGGTTGGACACTTGGCCACACTGACTCCTGGGTCTTCTGGACTCTGCCTGAAACCCCACCGCTGGCATTCCTGTCAGTGGCTATTCAGGGTCTTCTGCCTTTGACCAGGTAGTTACGATGCAAATATCTTGGCACTCATTTCGTAGAGGTTTTTTGAGCATTTGCTATGTGCTAGGGAGGTGACAAGTAAAAAAACAAAACAGACCAAAGTCCCTGCCCTTGTGGAGCTTGGATTGTACATATAGTGGCAGAGGCAGCAGAAGGGGCTTGCCAAGGACCCACTGAGTTTAAATCTTTAAAGGAACTTGGCCTCTGTTAATCTCATAGGTGTAGGATACTAAACATTTAATGACACACAGTGAATTGAATTTACACATTGGGATTGTTAGCTTTCATTTCATGAGGCTAATGCTTTAAAGTTTTATTTCTTGTTAATATTTTCAGAAGATGAATTGAATCTTCTGGTCATCATAGTTGATACCAACCCAATTTGGTGGGGGAAACAATCATTAAAGGAATCTCAGGTAAGACGACTTCAGGAGGACTTTGGGTGGTTCTAATTTAATTTGTTTATGTCTGTATTGGTTTTTCATTTAAAAAAAATTTTTTGGTACCAAGGATTGAACTCAGGACCTTGTACTTGCAAGGCAGGTGTGGTGCCACTGAGCTAAATTCCTGGCTCTATATTTCTTTCTATTTTTTTTTTTGGTACCGGGGATCGAACTCAGGTCCTTGCACTTGTGCAGCAGGCGGCGAAACCACTGAGCTAAATCCCTGGCCCCTATATTGCTTTTTTTAAAAAAATAGTTTTCTTATCCTGGGATGGTGGTGCACTCTTGTAATCCCAGCACTTGGGAGGCTGAGGCAGGAGGATCACCATGAGTTTGAGGCTAGCTTGGGCCACACAGTGAATTCAAGACCAGCCCGAACTACATAAAGAAGCCCTGACTCAAAGAACAGGACAAAAGAAAGATTTAATTGTACCTTATAAAGGTACAATTTACATACCATAAAATTGACCCATTGTAATGTACAGTTCAGTGACTTTTACTAAATTAGCAAAGTTGTGTAACTAGCTTCACAGCTGCAGTGAGAACATGTCTTTTACCACATTAAAGTTCCTTCACTATCTGGAGTCTGCCCTGCCTTGAGCTTATTGTGTAGCCCAGGCGAATTTGCAGTAATCCTCCTGCCTCAGACTCCCAAGTGCTGGGATCACAAGTGTGTGCTACCACACCCAGCAGTGATTGGTGGGAGCCACAGGTTCTGCTGTGGCCACTCTCCAACAAGAGGAGGAGGTGCTCTTTTCTTCCTAGTCCACTTACAGCAGTGGTGGCAAACCTATGGCACACGTGCTTGTTATCATTGAAAGCACCTAAAGATTTCGCCATCATTGGCTTAGAGCTTTTTTGTGTGGTGTTGAAGACTGAACCCAGTGCCTCTCACGTGCTAAGTACCATGCTGTGAGCTACACCCTCAGCCCCTGCTTAGAGACTGTTGTAGTCAGAAAGATTCGGCTAGGGAATACTTTAAATACAGGACACATAACTTATAAGATTATTTTAATGATAATTACCCAAAGAGTCAAATTCAAAGGAATGCAAGAAATTAACCACACACTAGAAGTTCAAAGGATTCAACTGAGGGCCTGGATCCCAGCAGTTTCCCACACAAGTCCAACTGAAGGCCTAGAGTCCAAGGCAGTGTCCTCCTTGAGTCCAGCCAGTGGCCTGTCCGTATTGAGAAGCAGTGGTGGAAGCCAGGAAATCTACGCTGGTGAGATGAAGGATTTCTGCCACCAGGCTGAGGGACCCACAATGGAGCCAGGAAGTGACGCTCACGGTGAAGATCAGAGCTCCCCTGATGGAAACAGCAGCCATTCCCAACAGCGAGGCCCTGAACTCCTCCTCCGATGAGAACCACCCTAGTTTGCATCAGGAAAACCATCTGCAGCAAGCTTCTCCTAGCAAATCAACGGGTCAAGATCTTTCCCTCCAGTTCTTTTTTTATGGCTATTGGTAACAATCTTCAGGTGGATCCTCCATGCCCAGACCACGCTGATTCAGTTCAGCTGGGCGTTACAAGTTGACCATTAATCACTCCACCACAGAGACTTACTGGGAAGGGATGTTCAACTTTGTCAAACACCTTTTCTGTATCAAATAATGCTTTTTCTTCCTTAGCCCGTCAACAGGGTGAATGACATTGATTGGTTTTCTACTGTTGAAGCAGACCTGCATTCTGGGAATAAACCCCGCTTGAAATCAATTTGCTAAGATTTTGTTGAGGATTTTTGCATCAACGTTTATATGAACTACTGATCTGCAGCGCCCCTCCCTCCCTGGCTCTAGTCTTAGGCTCCTATTGGCTTCATGAAATGTTTCTTCCTCTTCTGGTTTCTCTCTGGAAGAGATGGTGTAGGATTGGTGTCAATTCTTTATTTCTTTATTTATTTTTGGTACTGGGGATCGAACTTGGGTCCTTGTGCTTTCGAGGCAGGTGAGCTAAATCCCCGGTGGTGTCAATTCGAGGCAGGTGAACCACTGAGCTAAATCCCCGGCTGGTGTCAATTTTTTAAATGTGATAGTTCTGCAGTAAAACCATCTGAGTCCAGAGATTTCTTTTTGGGGGAAGTTTTAACATGTTCACGATGGGGGTGTGATTGGCATGTCTCACTGCTGGGCAGCTTGAAGCACCTGCACGACCATCCCATGTGTGCCACTGGCACTGGTGGGACAGCGCCCGATGGGACAGAGCCCAATGGGACGGTCATGCATGTACCACGGGTGCTTCCAGCTGCTGAGAACGTGTTGAACCATGAATCAAACTGTTTTTTTTTTTTGGTACCGGGGATCGAACTCGGGTCCTTGTGCTTGAGAAGCAGGCAATGGAACACTGAGCTAAATCCCCGGCCCTGTTTTTAATTATTATTATTATTATCATTGTTATTAATTTTTGGTACTGGGGATTGAACTCGGGACCTGTGCTTGCAAGGCAGGGGGTGGAACAACTGAGCTAAAGCCCTGGTCCTAATTATTATTTTTTTGAGATGGGGTCTCGCTGCATTGGCCAGGCTGGCCTCAAACTTGTTATCCTCCTGCCTCAGCTTCCTGAGTAGCTGGATTGTGGGGATGTGCCACCACGCCCGATTTCATGTTGCCAGTAACTTTTGTCACAGAAGATGTGACATGTTTGTTGTTCTTTAAATTCTGTGCAGGAAATATTTGTGGAGTGCTGGGAACACAGCTCAGAGGTAGCTTTCTGAGCATGTGTGAGGGCCTGGGCTCTGTCCTCAGTAACATAAATATATTAAACACATTTTTTAAAAAAGAAAAAAATATTTGTAAACTATCGTGCAGGTGTTGAGATGACCTCTTGTGAGTAAAATTAGAAAACTAATTTTCAAGAGTTTTCTGCTTATGATTTTGGAAGAGAGGAGCTCCTGAGCAGATTTTTAGCAGTGCGTACTTGTCTAACCTCCTGAAGAAATCCTAGCTGAGACCTGACCCTGTCCTATCCCACCTGTCCCGCAGTTCACGCTGTCCAAGTGCATGGACGCCGTGCTGGTGCTGGGGAACTCCCACCTGTTCATGAACCGCTCCAACAAGCTGGCAGTCATCGCCAGTCACATTCGGGAGAGGTAGGATGGCCCTCGCTGCCCTCGCTGCCCTCGCTGCCCTCGCTGCCCCCGCTGCCCCCCTGCCCCCTGCCCCGTGAGTGGCCACCACTGCAGGAAGCGCTGGTTCCCTCCGAGCTATCCTGAGGGTCAGTCGCCGATCCCAGCTCTGGTGCGTCTCAGTGCCACCATTGCACCACTCTCTGTGCGATTCTGCTGTTGAGAAATACAGGCTTCTCTTGGGACACTGGTGTCCACAGCAGCCGGCTCCTCATCAGTGGCTTCGTGCCGTCGCTGCACGGCCTATTCTGGCCGTGTTGGAGTCGCTGCGAGGCACGGGCACAGCTGGGCACAGGAAGGGCTCTTGTCACGTCTGCTGGGCTTGTGCCTGACCGGACTCCGACCCTGAGTCAGCACAGCTCTCAGGCCTTTGCTGTCACTTCACAGTAGCAGTGACTTGTTGGCCTTGTGTCAGGAGGGGCGTGAGCGGACCCCGGTTGTCTGCTCATGGGGACCGAGCCTGTGGGCCCCGAGGCCCAGCTTCTCCAGTCCGTGCCCTACATTTGTCTTAAACCCGAGTGAGAGCAGCAAAAGCTTACCCAGTCATGTTTTCCTTAACAAAGCCAATCAGCCGGAAGTTGGCTCAGTGGCATAGCGCTGGCCAGAGGCCCTTCACCCCCAGCACAGTGTCCTCTGTTAACCGTGAGAGTCAGTCGGGAAGCTTTTCAGGGACCTGCGAGCCACTTTTTATAGTAGGGTAGATGATATCTCCTCAAATAATAAGCCAGGAGTAGGTTGGAGTTGGGTACGAACCCCTCCGGTTGTCATGTGAGGGAGTCACGTGTGGGGACCACCTGAAGCATTTCGGGAGACTGTCATCCAGTACCCTCTTTGTTTCCTCTCTTTGTTTTTTTGTTGTTTTTTTTTAGAAAACACTGGAACCATGACAGCCTTCTGTGGTAACAGGTGAATGTTCACCACTGTGCCTGTTTTACATGGTGCTTCAAAATGAAGTTTATTATAGAATCTTACGGGCCTGGCGTTGGTGTGATTTTTTTTTTTTTTTTTGTACTAGGGATTGAACCCAGGGCCTTCCACTGAGCTGCATTCCCCATTCCTTTTTTGTACTGGGGATCGAACTCAGGACCTTGCACTTGTGAGGCAGACGTGGTGCCGCTGAGCTAAATCCCCCTCCCCATTCCTTTTTTTAAATATTGAGACAGGGCCTTGCTAAGTTGCCCAGGCTGGGTTCGAACTCGCAGTCCTCCTGCCTCAGCCTCCCAGAGTGCTGGGATTACATGTGTGTCTGCCTGATTGCATGTTAGTTCTACTTAATTTAGTGCTGATTGTGAGTGAGAGTGGGGACAGTGAGTCCTTTTTCCTTGCTGTTTCAGTCGGTTCTTGTATCCTGGAAAGAATGGCAGACTCGGAGACTTCTTTGGAGACCCCGGCAGCCCCTCTCCTGACTACAATCCCTCCGGGAGTAAAGATGGCAAATACGAGCTGTTGACGGCAGCCAACGACGTGATAGCGGAGGAGATTAAGGATCTGATGACCACTAGTAACAGCTCTCGTTATTATTTTTGTTGTTATTTTGCTACTGGACTTGATTTGGCAGGTTCTTAAGGCTTTAGGTCCAGAGATGTGTGGCTCTTGATACTGCCACTTGCTTTCCTCTTAGTTTCCATTTCTTGTTTTTCTTAATTCTTGTCCCTTAAAATAAGTTTTTAATTCTGCACATGGTTTTCTTCCTTTCTGGTTTGAGTGTTCTCATCCACTTTGGCTTTCAGTTATTGTTTATGTACGAGCACTTCCCAGTCTTTGTTTCAGACCCAGCCTCTTTCAAGCTCAAATGAAATGTCCGCATTTCGCTGTCCCACCGTCCATCTCCCTAACATCCCAGCCTGGCTACCTTTGCCCTCCCAACGCCACCATTTCCGTTTGCTGTGACCACCCCCACCCACCTGTGGTTCTAAATTCAGAGCTTTCCTCTCCGGCTCCTTTTTCTCCTCACGGATGTCACAAGCTATGCAGTCCTGTCCGTCAGTGCGGCCTCAGGAGCTCCCCCAGACTGACCCCTCACTGTCATCTGTGTCCCCCTCGGCACGATGGGCGTTGTGAGCTGGGTGCTTCTCTGTAGTGTGGGCTGTCCTGTGCATTGTGGGGTGCTTAGTGAAATCCCACCTCGATGCACTAGGTACCGTGACATTTCCCAGTCTTGACAAACATGTATGCCTTCAAACATTCGCCCCAGTCGAGGGCTGCTATTCCAGATTATTCTAGAGCCTTCTTACCATGATCAGCCATCTCCAGAACCTTCTGCCATCCCATAGGCATTAAACACTATCCCCACTCCCCCTTCTCCCAGCCCCTGAACAAGCACTTGTGTATTTTAAGTTGAGAAAAGGCTAAAAAGTTGTTCATTTAAGCATTACTGAAAACAAATTGCTTTCTGTGGTTTTTAAACCCTGTTTGAAAGTGTCATTGTTTAGTTTCATTCATGAAAAACACTGGTTTGGAAATGACTGTAGTTGAAGAAAGTACTTAAAAATTCCCTTTTGAACGCTTATTATTTGTAGGTGACATAAAGGGTCAACACACAGAAACTCTGCTGGCCGGATCCCTTGCCAAAGCCCTGTGCTGTATCCTTGGCACCTGTGTGGTACAGATGTGTCTTCTGACACCAGCACGTTGGATTTATGTGTACCGTTAGCATTTTGGGTGTCTGTGTCCATGGGAAGCCTTCGTTTTCAAAAGCAATAGATAATAAAATATGGTTTATAAGGGCCAGGGATGTAGCTCAGTGGCGCCATGCCTGTCTGGGAAGCACAAGGTCCTGAGTTCAATCCCCAGTACCAAAAAAACAAATGAACAAATACAGTTTATTGTGGCTCTGAAATTTTTTTTTTTTGGTACCAGGGATCAAACATGGGACCTTGCGCTTGCCAGACAGGTGGTGGAACCATTGAGCTAAATCCCCAGCCTGGTTTTGAAATATTTTAAAAATTCTGTTTATCTATCTATCTATTTATTTATTTATTTATTTTTGAGACAGGGTCTTGTTATGCAGTTCAGGCTGGCCCTGAACTTGCTATGGTTGTCCAAAAGGGCCTCGAACTCACAGTGATCCTCTTGCCTTAGCCTCCTGAGTATTATAGGCGTGCACCACCATGCCTGGCTTCGTTAGGCCTGTTTGATTGTTGTTGTTTTGAGACAGGGTCTTGCTATGGAGGCTGGCTGACCTCAAATTTTCTTTTCTTTTTTTTTTTGGTACCGGGGATCGAACTCGGGTCCTTCCACTTGCGAGGCAGGCAGCAGAACCACTGAGCTAAATCCCCGGCCCTGACCTCAAATTTTCAGTGATCCTCATGGCTCAGCTTCCCCAGTGCTGGCATTATAGGGTGTGCCGCCATGGTTGGCTTATTATTATTTTTTTAGACAGTGCTGAGTGATTCCTGTGTCCTAGACTTTGATTTTGGTCTGTTTATCTTTGTATAGTTTTCAAATGCATCATCTCACTTCATTCTTACTGATTTATGTGTGGTCCCAGTATTGGTAATTGTGTTTGATGATATTACAAAGCTCAGTTGAGTACAGTTAGTAATTGAAAACCCTGATCACCCTTGTGTATCTGTCCTGGTGAATGGAGCATTTACTTTTCTTTTCAGCTAGGAAGATGCCGAGTTTATTTAACTAAAATTTGAGGAATTTTTGTTTCCTATAGATGTTTCTAAAATAAAATAATATTTTTATATTCCTTAATACTAAGAAATTAAGACATTCATAGAATGAACAAAGAAGTTAAAGGTAGGAGTCTGCATTTTTCTCTGAGAACTATAATTTACTGTAAGCTACATTGTTATTCAGTTAACAATAATTATAACGTATGTTTAATAAGCTACATTGTTATTTAGTTAAATTGTAATCAGTTTTTATCTTTATAGATAATCAGGAGATGAAATCAAGGATATTGGTAAGATTAAAAATGTTAACTATTTTGTACAACTATAGACAATTAGAAACTATGGGAAAAAAGAAAACAATAGGAATAAAACCATGTAAGGTAGAAGCAAAAGGCAGAACTAATTTAGCAAGCAATGTATAAATTTATTATGAAGAAAAATGATGAGAGAAATAAATGAATAAATGGAGAGCTGTAGTGTATTCTTAGATGTCAGTTTTTCCAAAAACACTGTAAATTTAGTCCAGTCTCACTCAGAAAATCAATGAGGTTTTTTTTCCTAGAGGGTAGGGAGATTTTTTTTAAAAGTTCAATAATTTGGAAGAATAAATCAGAAGAATCAGGAACTTCCTGAAAGGAAATACTAAGTAGGAGCTTGCTTCAGCGTCGTGAAGCACTGCAGATTAGTAAGGAAGTGGGTTACTCTCTAAAGCGTGCAGGGGCTGTCACTTGGCCTCCTGGGGTAAAACAAAGAGGCCTCCTCCGGCCGCCAGACTCTTAAATTCTTTCCAATCAAGATGGGACGTTGCCGTGTAGACGTAAAAGCACTAGAAGAAAATACCCATTGATAATCTCAAGTTAGATGGATGCCTTAGTAAGCATCTTGTGAAACTTCTAAGGAAAGGCTTTATACCTCAAAATCCCTACCACAAAGCGAAGACAAAAGAAAACTTTTTTTTTTTTTTTATTTAAGAAAAAGTATTTTGAGCATAGCTACCTTACAGAAAATTAATGTGCTTTTTCTAAAATAAAAAAGAGCCTTTCATCCTTAAAAGTCAAGCTTAACCCTAGAAAAACAGGTAGTAAACAAGAGCTGGGGTTGTCTTGTTGAGATGGGAACGCTGCTGACGTCTTTACGCGCAGGGTGTTAACTCAACAACGCGTAGCAGGCAGTTGGACGGCTGCGCTGGTCCTGGCACGGTGGCCTGCGGGGCAGCTGCCCCCCAGGCGCTAACGGTGCACAATTTCCAGGTGATCAAGGCCGCGGAGGACAGTGCACTGCAGTACATGAACTTCATGAACGTCATCTTCGCAGCACAGAAACAGGTGAGCTGCGTCTGCCTTTTCCAGAGCACGTGTTTCAGAGTGAAAGAATCCAGTTTCTTTATTTGAACGACCTGCTCGGAGAGGAATTCGGGCTCAAGAGCCTTATGAGTGGGTTATCATGGTCTCTGCTGTTATTCCTGTAATCATTTTGGAATCTCCCTTTCAGAATATTTTGATCGATGCCTGTGTTTTAGACTCGGACTCAGGCCTCCTCCAGCAGGTACGTTTTCAAAGAGTGCTGGTGTTGGTAATTATGGAAAGTAATTTTTACATTGAGTAATGATAAAACAGTGCTACTTTGAATATATCGAGTCAACATGTGTTATGAAAGTGAATTTTATCTGTTTCTTTCCCCTTTTTCTGTGTGGCTAGTGGAAGGGTTTATTTTTGTGTTGTTTTTTGTTTTGGTTTTGGTTTGATTTTGGGTTGTTTTGAGACAGGGTCTCAGTATATAGAGTCGAGGTTGGCCTTCTCGTAGCCCAGACTGGCCTTAAACTTACATCGATCCTCCTACCTCAGGCTTCTAGATTACAGGCGTGTGCCACCATGTCTAGCTGTTTTATTTTTAAAATAGATTTTTAGCCGGGGATTTAGCTAGTGGTTCCACCGCCTGTCTCTCAAGGGCAAGGTCTCGAGTTTGATCCTCGGTACCAAAAACAAACAACAATATAATAGATTTTTATTTTTAATTGATGCATCATAATTGGACATATTTGTGGGGAGCAGTGGGCCATATCTACACATGTATGCATCGTGTAATGATCAGATCAGGGCAGTCATATTTTCATTTTGTTACTTAAGCCATTTTACACATTATATATACTTTTACATAAATGATTATATTTCGGTATTAAAAAACCAACAGGACTGACTAGTTTTTAGCCACACATTTCAGTCCACGAAGTTAACTCCGGCCTTCCTCCTCCGGGATTTTGAAAGCCTGCTCTGCGCCTGCGCAGCCCTCCGTTTCCGTTTCCGTCTCTGACTCCGGCCAGCCCCTGCTCTGAGCTGTGGCCCTGCACCATCGGCCTTGGGCATGAGCGGTGGCTCCTCTTGCACGTCCGGCTGCATCTGCAGCTTACTGGTTGTACACAGCCTGTCCCTCCCGGAGGCACCTTGCCTGTCTCGTAGGCGGCAGCGCGGTTCACTGGGTCAAGTGCAGACCTGACTCCTCTTTGTCTCGACCTCCCCTTTCACATCTACCAGTAAATCTCGAGTCTTCCACCGGCCTTCTCCGTAGGGGGCCGGAGAAGCCAGTCAGCTGCCTCCTATAGCACGTTCGCCCCTCCTGCCAAAGCTGGTCCTTGCCGCACTGTCAGATGCGATTGTTGCTCACTCCCTGCAGACCCTTTGTGCCCCACCCTCACTAACACTAGAGCCCTCGCGTGGCTTCCGGATTCGACATGTCCAACACGCTGGGGGCCCAGGGACCCCTTCCAAGGCCCGAGGACACAGGCGACGTCTGCCCTGAGCTGCTGCCTCCGGGGCTCCACGGCTCCACTGCTGTCCCTGCCTTGTGGCGCCCCTGCGTCTGTGTGGCCTCCCCAGAGAGACCCCGTGAAGGGAGTCACAGTTGTGACATTGCCCAGCCTCACTCACTGCCTCACACGTGCCCTGCGCCTCAGCTCAGCTGGTCCCATGGCCCTCAGCCCTGTGGCAGCCTCTGTGTCTTGCAGGCTTGTGACATCACGGGAGGGCTGTACCTGAAGGTGCCCCAGATGGCGTCCCTGCTGCAGTACTTACTGGTAAGGACAGGACGGGGGTGCTACAGGGTTGGGAGAGTCCATGCCTTAGAAGGGTGGGCATGAGGCGGTCCTTGCACTCTGTAGGCTGTGCAGAGTAGTGTACCACTGGTTTTAACACAGACCCGTATGTGTACCTGATGGTCATTGTTGAATGAATAAATGCATTTCCTCACCAGGAATGGTGGTGCAGACCCTAACCCCAGAACTCTGGGAGGCTGAGGCAGGAGATCTCACAGTCTAGCCCAGCTTGGGGATCCAGCTCATTACAAAGACCCTGGGTTCAATCCTCAGTACTGAAGGAAAAAAGCCTAGATTTTAGGATTTATTTTGCTTTTTTCCTGAGTCTGTCTCACTATTTTGCCCAAGTTGGCCTTGAACTCCTGGGCTCAAGGAATCTTCCTGCCTCAGCCTTCCAAGTGCTGAAAATACAGGCGCAGCCCATCGGCACTCAAAGCAAGGAGAATCTTGATTTAGTGTTGATGTCTGTGTGTTTAGACCCTTGGTTACTTTCCCCCCCGTGTTGTAAATCCGAGTCCCGTCTTCATGCATTCATTTTTTATAGTGGGTTTTTCTTCCTGACCAAGACCAGAGAGCTCAGTTAATCCTCCCGCCCCCAATTCACGTTGACTACCGGGCAGCTTGCTTCTGTCACCGGAACCTCATCGAGATTGGCTACGTGTGCTCTGTGTGTCTGTCAAGTAAGTCCCAGCCTTGCCGTGCTTTCCTACCACGGTGGAGGGGCAGGAAGTATCTCACCCATGTCCTTTGTTTAATTTTGCAGTTTTCTGCAACTTCAGCCCCATCTGCACCACGTGTGAGTAAGTATCCAGGCCGTGCGGGTGGCTTGCACTTTGGGGACAAGGGTGCTCATGTGTCCTCTCTGCCGTTTCAGGACAGCCTTTAAGATTTCTCTTCCTCCTGTGCTGAAGGCCAAGAAGAAGAAACTGAAAGTGTCCGCGTAACGCAGCAGGATTTTTTTTAAGGCTGTTATTCATAGAAATGGTGGGGGAGGCTGCCAGGCACAGGTCGGGGCAGGCTGATTTGGAAAGCAGTCCAAAGCATTGCCCTAAAGTCTGCTCTGGCCGGGAGAAGGGACAAGTTTGTGACTTTGACCTTTTAATGGGGCTCATTTGTCAAAGCCACCTGCTGTGACCGATTCTAGGCTTTGGGTCCTCTGCCCTGAGTCTGAGCCCTTACTGCAAAGCTGGAACCCGGCGTTGGAGAGCAGCAGATGGAAATAAACCCCGTGACCTCGTTGAGACTCAGCCTCAGACATTAGCGGCTGTTTATTCTTTGGTCTGACAGTGCTGTGTGTTTGGGCAGTTATCCAAATACTCGGAATAGTCTGTCCCCAACTAACTACAGAATCTGACTTTAGATGTGTAAGGTGAGCAAGGGCCGGGGGCTGCTTGCAAGTTTTTCTTCAGAAACAGCTGTGGGAAGAGCTTTTTGTGAAAGCTGATGTTAGGCTGTGAGGGAGAATTGATTGGGGAAAATAACTGTGGGTTACTTCTTGTCTGCACATAGAATTCTGTCATTTTTTAATGGGAGAAAAACCCACTAATAGCTGGGCACAGTGTCTGTCTCACACCTGTAATCCCAGCACTCTGGAGGCTGAGGCAAGAGGACTGCAATTTCCAACCCAGCCTTGGCAATTTAACCAGAACCTGTCTGAAAATAAAAAATAAGAAGGGCCTGGGAATGTACCTCTGTGCAAAGGCCCTGAGGTCAGTTGCCAGTACCAGAAAAGGTCCATTCGTTAGTATTGGGGAACTCTTTCTAGAAGTGCTGAACTGAATACTGAAACATTTCATAAATTCAAAAAAAGCATTATTTGTAATTTCTTTTTTTGTTTTTTTGTACCGGGGATCGAACTCTGGACCTTGTGCTTTTGAGGCAGGCGCTGGAACCACTGAGCTAAATCCCTGGCATTATTATTTGTAATTTCAACAATAAAAAATTATTTTTCTATTAACTTTCCTTGAGGTATTTCCCTAGACACTTCTGTTTAATGATTTTCCTAGAAATTAATTAAAAGTCTTCATAATTTTCAGTATAGTACAAGAAAAGTTTAAGGAATGATGGCCGGTTTGGAGCTTCTTGAAAGTAAATTGATTCCACTGCCTGCCTCGCAAGTGCAAGGTCCTAAATTCAATCCCCAGTACCAAAAAAAAAAAAAGTAAATTGACAAAAATAATTTTTGTATACAAATAGGATTGAAAACTCTTTATACCCCCCCCCCATTTGTTTGTTTTGGCACCGCGGATTGAACTTGGGACCTTGCGCTTGTGAGGCAGGCGGCTGAGCCACTGAGCTACATCTTGGCCCCCTTTTTTTTTTGGATACAAGGTCTTCTTAGGTAGTCCAGGCTGACTTTAAACTCACTATGTAGTCCAGGCCGTCCTTGAACTCACAGAGATCCTCAGCTTCTGGGGTGCTGGGACTACAGGCATGCACCACCACGGCCGACTAAGACCATCTCTGAAGCTGAGTCTTTATTAGGTAATTTGGTGTTTGGTTCAGTAATTTCAAGTAGATTTTTTTATTCTGTATTTACAGTTTTGTAAACACACAAAAGATTTTGATGATCACTGCAAATATTTGTTACTCCTTGAGTTTGAGATCCGTTTGTCTTAAAAATAAAATTTACCAGGGCCGGGGATTTAGCTTAGTGGTTCCAGCGCCTGCCTCATAAGCGTAAGGTTCTGAGTTCGATCCCCGGTAGCCCCCCCCAAAATAAAATAAAATTTATTGGGCCAGGGATTTAGCTCAGAGGCACAAGGTCCTGAGTTCGATGCCCAGTATTGGGGAAAAAAATAAATAAAATTTACTATTTTATAGACTAAGCAAAATGGAAATCTTTATTTTAGTCTAGGAAATAAAGATCTAAAAAATGCATAATTTCAAATAAGTGAATAAGGCTTGGTTATTTCTCATTTGAACTGCTTTATATACTTCCTTAGTTCTGTTCAAGTTTTATTTTTAACTTATTTTTATGATTTATTTTGTATAAATTTGTTTAATAAAATACTTAAATTTTTAGAGTTGACTGAATTATTTCCTCTTATTCATTGTTTATCTTATGTTCATTCAACTCATCTTCAAATGGATTTGATCCATTTTTAAATGGATTTGGTCAATTATCAATTTTTAAATTTTAAGTCTTGCCAAAATTATACACAAAAACACTATTACAGATGCTGTACAATAATACATTGGTTTGAAGGCTTTAACCCATGGTTTAATTTTTTTTTTTTTTTTGGTACCCAGGGATCAAGCTCAGGTCCTTGCGCTTGCGAGGCAGGTGGCAGAACCACTGAGCTAAATCCCTGGCCCCTGTGGTTTAATTTTTAATTAATTTATTTTTTGCAGGACTGGGACAATTCAGAGGTAGGTGCAACCATCACCGCTATTTAGCTCTAGAACATTTCCATCATCCCCAAAAGAAATCCCATTTCTCTGGTTGCTAGCAGCCCTGACTCTGCTTCCTGTCTCAGGCTTTGCTCATTGTGGACCTTGGGTATAAATGGAATCACAACACAGGAGTTTCTGTGTTGGCTTCTTTTATTGGTGTAACTTGTTCGGAGTTGATCCCCGTTGTCCCCTGGGCTTGTTTCTAGGGTCCCTGGGTGGATCTTCGGAGCTAAGTTGTTCACGTGTCTACCCAGCCTTGGCCAGGGAGCCCAACCAACCTGCTGCTCCAAGATGGCCACTTCCAGGTCCCAGCTCCTCCTGGGCTAGGGGACGTTTCTCATGGGAGGTAAACATGGACTTGACCTTGGAGAAGTTGAGATTCGCCTCCTAAACCCAGAGCCTCCTGAGGGAAATTCAGCTCTGTACAGAACCTTTTCTGTGCACTTTTCCCCTGGAACTTAGAATTGAACCCAGGACCTTTGCACTGAGCTACATTGCCAGCCTTTTTTGAGACAAAGTCTCATTAAATTCCCTCAAATTTTCCATCCTCCTGCCTCAGCTCCTAGAGTGCTGGGATTGTAGGTGTGCACCACCATGCCCAGCATTCGTGAACTCAGTGCAGAATTGATGTGGAGGGGAGGGAAGAACAGGCCCTGGTTACTTACAGAAATGTTTTCTTTCAGGAGGATTTATCTTCCAAGCTTTAGTTAATTTGTAGCTTCATTTTCTCAAAGACAGATGGGGAAAAACAAGTGACAACTTTCCTTAGTGATGTTCTGCATTCCCAGATACCAAGAGACACCAACACTTCACAGTTTCTTAGAGAGGACAAGGTACAGGGTGAAATTTCATGCCAGTGTTACGATCGCAGCGATCCATGGTTTTGCACACATGTAAGAAAAGACAGTGTTCAGTGGAAGGCCTTGAAGAGTCTCACCTTTCAGAATAGTAGAATAACTGGTCAATTTTTGGGAAGAGTCAGGGTCTCACTATGTAGCCCAGGCTGGCCTCGAACTCTCGGCAATCCTCCAGCCTCAGCCTCCCAAGTGCTGGGATTATAGGTGTGCACCACCATGCCTGGCTGTTACCTTTTTAGAGAGAGGAACTAACGTGTTTGGAGAAGTGGCTTGCCCAAAGTCACCACGTAGGGTATATGAGGTGGGAGGCGGAGCCCTAGACCCAGCTGCCCCACCTCAGCCTGAACTCTGAGTCACCAAACTATAATAACGCTTAAAATGCTGCCAGACACTGAAGCAAGAAAACAATTCGTATACTTTTGCACCTGTCCTATTGCTGGGTCAAACCTTATGTGCCCTCACTTCGCATTAGAGCCTAAAGCCAGGATCTTGCACATACTAGGCAAGTGCTCTGTTGCTGAACTACACTCCTAGCCCTTTTTGAGACCCCAAAGGACAGCGTCCCATTAAATTGCCCAGGGTGACCTCAAATTTGCAATCCTGCCTCAAGCCTCCTGAGTAGCTGTGATCACAGGCGCGCATCTGGCTCTTACCCAGGTTTGTTTTTAATTGGATCTAGTTTTGGAGTAGTGAGGGCTCCATCCAGTGGAAACTCAAAACCAAAAAAGAAAACCAGGAGAACGATAAATCCAGCAGCGCTGTTCAGTTAGAGCCCTGCGGCCTCACCCCCTCTTACGTCCATTCCCTGAAAAGCTCCATAAAAGTAGAGTTTACTAAGCAGCAGTTGTTATCCCCGTTGTTAGAAAGCCAGCGTCTAGTAGGCTCCCTCGAGAAGCGCTTTGCGTTAAGTCCAGGGCGGCCGGAAGCTCCCCTTTTGGAACCGCACAGGACCTCCCATTTTTTCAGCATCCTTTAAAGAACTAAGCAGCAGAAAACAATCCAGGTCTGGTGGGCGGTGCCGGGATGCTCCGGTCCGAGTTGGGGGCGGAGTCTCTTGCTGTGGGCCAATCACGGCGCCTCTCTCGCCTGGCTAGCCGCCGATTGGTAGTTACCATAGCTGCGGGAGTTCGCTTGGCAAGATGGCTGCAGCAGGGCCGTGACGGCCGGGTTCTCCCTTCTGGGCCCTTTGCGACTTCTAGGGCGCGCGCGGTTGGTGGCATGGGATTTCGGCCGCCGATTCCTCTCCTGCTGAGGCTCCTTCTACTGGGCTTCCTGGGGCCGCTGCGGGGGGACCTGGGTGTGTACGGCAGGGCAGGAACCTGCGCGGGCCGAGGCTGAGGGGACTTGGCGATGAGGGGCCAGACTTGGGACCTCCTGGCCCCGGAAGCCGCGAAAGCCGAAGAGGCTGCCACACAGGCCTTGGGCTAGCCCCTCCCTGCCTCTTCCTTCTCTCCTAGTTTTCATCCCTCCCTTTATCCTAATGTCCGGGCCTGAGGTCAGCGCGTTCCTGGTCGGAGACACAGAGAATGTGACCGTGTCCCTGGCCCCGCTGCAGGTCGAGGCAGGTAAGAGTCCGCCCTTCCAGTAGGGGGCACCGTGGGGCCCTCCTGGTCCTCACCAAAGCAATAGTGATGTGTGGACGTGCGTGTGTGTGTGTGTGTGTGTGTGTGTGTGTGTGTGTGTGTGTAAACCAAAGAGGGCCTGCAAGGGAGCTTGAACAATGGCTAGTGTTCGTTGAGCTATCCCATGTGCATCGTGATCGTCCTGCCTCAGCCTCCCCAGTGCTGGGATTACAGGGTGTGCCACCATGCGTGGCTAGAAAGTGCTGTCTTGCATCTCATCTTCTCTCCCTTAGGCGTACTTCCGGTTCCCACTTGTGGACTGCCGAGCAATGAGACAGGAGCCTGGAGTGTGATTGTGACCCCCTGTATGGTAAGGCCAGAAGCAAAACTGGCATCGCTGGAGATGTCTGCATCGGTTCTCTGCAGCGCACTCTTGATTTGATCCCGGTAGCTTTCTCTGTGTTTAAAACTGCCCAGAGGCCAGGGATTTAGCTCAGTGGTTTCACCGCCTGCTGCGCAAGTGCAAGGACCCGAGTTCGATCTCCGGTACCAAAAAAAAAAAAACCTGCCCTGAAATTGGGTGTCACTGTAGACACGCATCCAGCCCAGGATTCTGCACCTGGGATCAGGGGGTCTCTGGACACATTTCAAGGAGTCTGTGAACCATATGAGATTGTGCGTGAGATTCTGCCTTTCTCTCTCTCTCTCTCTCTCTCTCTCTCTCTCTCTCTCTCTCTTTCTCTCTTTCTCCCTTTCTCTCTCTTTCTCGTGTACTGGGGATCAATTCCAGGACCTCACACATGCTAGACAATTGCTCTACTAGTGAGCTACATCCCTGGGCTTTTCTTAAAATTTTTATTTTGAGACAGGATCTTGCTAAGATGCTAAGTTGCCCAGGTTGGGCTTGAACTTGTGATTTTCCTGCTTCAGCCTCCCAGAGTTGGGGGTTGATAGGCATGATCCATCATGCTCTGTACATGTGATTTTCTGACGAGAGGGCCACCAGCTTCCGTCAAATTGTCAAATGGGTCTGGGTCCAAATGCTTCATAGCTACTGATCTTGCCACTGTGTCAGGACATGCAACCCTGGAGAGACTACATGTTTTCTACTGAACGAGTGAGTGCCTACTATGTGCCCAGCATTGACTCTGGAGATAAACCGATGGAGAAGACAGGCGCTACCAGGACATTTTAGCCTGGGATTATTTTCACTGACTTTTTAGTGTATTTAAACTTCTTCTAGGGGCATGGTGGCGCACACCTGTAATTCCAGCACTTGGGAGGCAGAGGCAGGAGGATCACTGTGAGTTCAAGGCCAGGCTGGGCTGGTGAGACCCTGTCTCAAAAAAAAAAACAAAAGAAAAAAACCTCTGCTAGTGGGAGGATAAAGACACTTCAAAAGGTTCCAGACGGATGGCTGGGGCTGTAGCTCAGGGACAATGTGCTTGCCTAGCATGTGGGAGACCCTGGGTTTGATCCCTAGCACCACTAAATAAATAAAACTAAAATAAGTAAAAAATTAAAAAGTTCCAGAAAAACTGGGTTAATTTATTAGACCTGTGTTTATCTTTCTCTATCCAGAAGTTGTTTGCTTTAGGGATCAGAGCTTGCTATTACCATAGTTGAGGGGTAGAATATTAAAAGAGAATTCTGTCATCGTTGTATACAGTTCTCCTTTATAAAATAAATCAAGGCTAATGTGTGCATTCCTTTTGTTTTCCGTTATGTGCAATGATAATTGTAGGCTCTCTTTTGAAGTACAGTGGACCCTTGACTTGCGAACTCAATTCATTCCCAAGGGCTGGCTGTAACTCAGGTTGGTCAGTGAAGGCTCAGGCTCTTCTACACAGCCTTCAGAGTCTCTCTCCCGTATACAGGCAGATCTCAGTGTCCTTAGAGAGACGTTGGCCCAGGATTTCTCAGTTAACCCACACAGGAGAGGATGCTGTAATGCTCCTTTCGGGACTCTTTAAGGGTTAATCTGTATCTGAGACCATCTGGAAGCACAAGTGGCTGGCATTCAGATCGTAACTTAGGACTTTGGTCGTAAGCGAAAACTAAATTCCAGTTGTAACTCAAGTTGTTCATATGGCAGGCTGTTTGTAACTCGAGGGTCTCCTGGACTCTGAAAGTACAGCAATATTTTTCTTTCAGGATGTGTTGGAGGTGACGGTGAGGCTGAACAGGGGTCCGCGGGAATGCATCTCTAACAAGACAGAGTCCTTCACCGAGGCCCCCTGTCTTGTCCAAACTCTGCTGGTTTCAGCCTCTCGCAGTGCAGCCTGCTTGGCACACCTCCTCATTCAGGTGGAAATTTATGCCAACTCTTCCCTCGCCCAGGAGGCATCAGGCAAGTAAAGACCTTGTCCAACGGTCCGCATCCAGCAGTCCCCATCTGATGGTAAAATGTGGGCTGTGCAGTTTCTAGCGCCTGCTTGATTTTACTTGTGAGTCTGCCTTCCCTTCCTAAACTTACTATTTATGTTTAGTTTTCTTATTTTAAGAGTTTTTTGCTTTGTACTCTTGTATTTAATTAAGATTTATCTTGCTCTATTGTTTGTAACTTTTGTAAACCACTTTTTTTTTTTTTTTTGGTACC